CTTAAAAAACTTTAAGCGCAATTAAAAAAAATCTATTTTTGGTCCTATTTAATTTATTATTATCATCAATTAATCTATTTAATGACAAATATTATTTAATACTAAAGTTAGCCAACATTTTTAATTTTTTTTTCATTTATTAAATTAGAACTAAAAAATATTTTTAAAAAATTGTACTTGTCGTTTTTCAAGTTTTTTACGAATGAAATTTTTTTTTTTTTTTTTTTTTTTTTTCAATAAAAAAAATTCAAAAATTTTTTAGATAGCTAACTTAATTTTCATTCTATTTATGGCCAAAAATAGTTTTGACTCTAGTAAATAATTAACTATTTTTTTATTTTAAATTGTACCCGTAAATCATTTCAGAATTATAAAAAGCAAGTTAAAAAAATTTTAAGAAAAACAAATTAACAAGCGTAAAAGTTTAAACACCGCTTGAGGGAAGGTCATCAAAGTAACGGGTATTTCCGCCAATTGATATTTCGACTCACCGATCAGAAAAGAAACCGGAGGTTCAAATGAGTAGGACCTCTAACATGAGAAAATAAAAAGAAGACGGAAATAAAATTTTTCCACGCACGGGATTTTTTATTTCATCACGTTGGCCAGCTAAGCGGTCAAGCAAGTGTTTAAATAAAAATAATCCACGGATTTAATAACCATATTGATAGATCGAGCTCTTATTGTGTCGTTAGGTGGCATATAATATATAATAATACAAAGACGAATGAGGCGACCTTGTAGAGCATACTCAACCAGGATCTGAACCGATAAAAGAAATCTATCCAGGTAAAACTGGTGGGGTGACCTGATGCTTGCTGCTGCCCGAGAAAAAATTACGAAAGCATTAGGATCTACTTTTATAAGATATAATATCTAACGGGTAGTATTAGCCGAGTCCTTAACTTTTATTTGTTCCGTTTTCTAACTCTAACTCTAGAATTAACTGAACATCTGCCGTTTGGTGTTATGTCTAATGATGTGAATGCGGGGATGGCGCAACTTGCGCATCAACACCACTGATGAGTTAAACCATATTAATATATGACAAATATAAATTATAAAGTGATGAAATTTTTACTAAACCGATAATGAGACTATAAAACGTTTATCTTTATACGGGTACGTTCTAATTTGTAACATTACATGTTTTATTATTTTATTTTCACTCAAGGCTAAAAAGTTTAACGAACAGAGAATAGAACAGAAAAAAATTAAATAGCTTGTGTTAAATATATTTTGTTTTGTTATTATTTTTTAAGCTTAAATTATTTATTGAAACATTGAGCAAACGAATCGAGACAACGATCTCGTGTAGCTACAAGCTAACTATATATACAGACTAAAAGTAAAAGGCAATATAATAAGAAATGTGTACTTGACGCGAGAGGCTATTTAATTGAGCGTCCTTAACTCTACTTACAATCTAGTTCCTAATTTTCTGTTTTATTGAATAATAAGTTGTTATTAGCATAAGTAGCTTTTAAATTATTTATTGTTTTTGTTTTTGAAATTAGTTATTTTTTAGTTTATTTTTGTTAAAGAAAAAAAGGTTTTGAGCCAAGAAAATATTTTGCTTCCTAATTATTTTCTTGAGCAAAAAAAATTAACTTCTATCAAGAACTAAATTTTTTAGAGCAAGAGGCTGAATTTTCTTAAAATTTTCTTAAAACAATAAGATTTTCTTGACTTAAATAAATTTTCTTGTAAAAAAAAAAATGTTCTTGTCTTGAGAAAATTTCTTGCTCCAAAAAATTAAATATAAAGATAGAAGCAAATTTGAATTAATATTTTTATTGATTAAAATGTCAATTGGGAAGATCAAATAATATTTCATCATTTTTTTCATTCAATTATAATTGCACGGTAAAATAATATAAAATGGGTATCAAATATTCAAGAGAAAAATTTTCTTGAGGTAAGAAAATTTTTTTCTCAGCTAAAATAGGTGGCGCTGCTTCCCTAAAGTATCTAAAAATCTTGATCAAATATCAAAAAATTTATTGTATCAAGTATTTATGATAAAATTAAGAAAAAATTACTTCTGCCAAGAATAGAATTTCAATAAAAATTTTTACTTTAGGCAGCCGAAAATTTCGGCTGCCCAATTTCAAAACACAGTAGCTAACATTTAAAAATTTTTGTCAATTTTTCTTATTAAAAAAAAGTTTGCCCGCGAAATTAATGACAAATTGATTTATGAATAGAAAATACTCAAATATAAATATTTTTAAGAAAAAATATTTGAAATTAAGGTTTAAAAGTTATAAAAAATGCAGCAATACTAAAAAAAAAAATCAGGTATAAAAATTTTGCAGTTACTGTGTTTTAAAATTGGGCAGCCGATTTTCTTGAGCCAAGAATTTTGTTCTCCAGTCAAGAAATTTATTTTTCTGTGGAATAAATTAAAAATGTGCATTCATTTCAATAGAGCAAAGGCACACTAGGAGTGCTATGTGGGTGTTTCACAAATAACTATCAAAATCTGACGTCACAGCTAAAAGGAGGTTAATCGCACCGCAGGAGCGTAAAAAATATAAAAAAAACATATAAAACTAGTAGTGTAACTCTTGGCTTGTCGCATTCCTCAATACATATATATACATAGAGGTAATTTAACGTTTGTATAAATAATAACCGTGCAGTGGTATTTTTTAAAAACTCCAGGCACTATTGTCTAGATTGTCCACCGTTAAATCTAGTCAACTATATATATATATATATATATATATATATATATATATATATATATATATACCTGTTAGATTTTATTAGCATTAATTTTACTCCAGCGCTCTACTCGGAATAAATTATTTAAATAAATTTACAGATTTTTATTTTTATAAAATAAAAATACCTGAGGGATGAGAGAGGATGAGATGGATAATGCGGGCTCGTTGGTGCGTGAAAGAAACAGATGACAAGGACGTTAAAAATTGTCCGCGGCCGTCGTGTATCTCTACTCTGGCGACTCAGTATAACCAGAGACAGGGGAAAAGCAAGGTCGTTCTTTGACCTGTACACGGTTTTGCCGTGGTGGTGATGGCAGACTGGCGCCGATTTTTGATTTTACTTCCACTTCTTTGCTTCAAAAGCATAATCATTATAATATAATGAACCGGTCCGACTCTCATATAACGTGAATGTTAATTCCAACGTAATTCACATGGAATTTCGGATCTGTTTATCTTCACAAGAATAAAAAAAAAAACACATTCTATTTCCATCGGACTCTGAGTGAGGAATATTTTATTTTTATATAAATTAATCATCACCGGCGTCATCTTCGGCGTAACTGGTAGCGATCGGCGTCATAATTGTCCTGCCTTGGTCACTCAAGATTACATTACACTAAAAATAAAATTACATAAATTATATCATAATCTATATTATTATGAGAATGAGAAAAATTTTTTATCCGGGATAGTCATATGATAAAATCGGTTTTTTTTAGTGAAATTTAATGTCATTGCAAATATCTTGACTTAAATTTGTGTTTTTTCTCTATCTCTAGATACATAATTAAGAAATGACCTTGTATCTTAAGACTTATTGACATTTTTAAAGATATAAGCTCATCCCGATGTTAAACTCATCAAGACCTTTCATATGAGTACCCACATCAATTTTTCATATATTTTATATATTTATATATAATATATATATGAATATATGAAAAATATATAAAAATGCATGTGGGTACTCAAATGAAAGCTCTTAATGAGTATAACATCGGGATGAGCTTATATCTTAAAAAATATCAATAATTAAGAAATTACTGCTATCTTGTCAACTAATAATATTTTTAAAGATATAAGCTCATCCCAATGTTAGACTCATCAAGACCTTTCATATGAGTATCCACATCAATTTTTTATATATTTTATATATATGTATATATGAAAAATATCAAAAATGCAAGTGGGTACTCAAATGAAGGCTTTTGATGAGTATTACATCAATATGAGCTTACATCTTCAAAAATATCAATAATTGAGAAATTACCTTGCATCTTGTCTACTAATTATATTTTTGAAGATATAAGCTCATCTTAATATTACACTTATCGAGACCTTTCATTTGAGTACCCACATAAATTTTTCATATATTTATATATATATATTGTATATTTGTATATATGAAAAATATATCAAAAATGCAAGTGGGTACTCAAATGAAAGCTTTTAATGAGTGTAACATCGGGATGAGCTTATATCTTAGAAAAATGTTAATAATTAAAAACTGACTTGGCTATCTTGTCTACTACTGACATTTTCAATAATATAAGCTCATCTCGATATTCCACTCATCGAGACCTTTCATTTGAGTACCCACATCAATTTTTCACATATTTTATATATTTATATATATTATATATATATGTATATATGAAAAACATATCAAAAATGCATGTGGGTACTTAAATGAAAGCTCTTGATGAGTGTAACATCGGGATGAGCTTATATCTTCAAAAACATCAATATTTAAGAAAATACAGTGCAATTTAACAAATGTCATTATTTGATAGAGCAAAATTTTATATATTTATAGATCACAAGTCACGGCAGTCACATAGTGACTGCAAGGTTGCCAGCAATAAAATAAAATATTTTTGTCGTAATAAGCTCTTATAAAGATATCATCAAGAATATTTTTTATTTTATTATATTGACTGTTACTTAAAGACTAAAAGCTGATCCGAGTGTTCTCGGTTGTTAAGTAATGGTACGTAATATAAAATGTAACTGTAAAATAATCTACTGTCCACTTAGTCATGATTATTTATTATTTAAATGTACTTTACTTACAAGTCGACGTGAGACATGTTGCGAGACGTGATTTTGACGTATTTAAATAACTCGCTGACAAAGAAAAGCACGTAGAGAATTATTCTCTTTACTAGCGAGTTATTTTTTATCTTACGCTCAATTTTTTTATGATACATGCATATAAATTATTTATTCATACGTATGTAAATTGCGAGTACGGGGGATAAATGTATGCAAAAAGAAGCAATGTATGTTTAAATGCTTTCAAGTTATCCTTAATACGCACATGTTTTTTTATATTACCCTTGGCCCTTTTTATGATTCAATGACAGCGCGTTAACGTAAGTACTGCTGCAGAAGCAGCAGATGTCGTCATCATGGACACAAATCACTGTCTAAGACAATACATACCGTGTGTTAACTCCTAAGAATGCATCAAACCATAAACTCACACGTGCAGCATTTTCTATAATATCGTATGTAATTTATTTAATACTATTATCATTATGTTTTTTTAACAGATTTTTTTCACTCGGTCTTTCAGGGTCATTTCACCATTCCCTGAAATAAAGTTAATATTTATTTATTTATTTTTAAAATTGACAAGACATGATATTTTTTAAACGAAATATCGCAAGTCATTTATACTATGATTAATAATATTTATTATTGTATTTTTTGTAGCGATGCCTTAATTTATTACCACTCAGTTATTAATGGTAATTTATTTTTTTCTGTTGTTGTTACTTAAATCTAGGTAAGAGTGCCACTTAAGGTCAGCTTTGTCGCCAGGCCCAAAGATGTTAAAGTCGTAATTACTAAAAAACATCTTACCTGCGGTATTAAAGGTCAACCACCAATTATAGACGGCGATTTTCCGCATGAAGTTAAGCTTGAGGATTCCACTTGGGTTATTGAGGATGGCAAAACTTTGCTCATAAACTTGGAAAAGGTATAAATAATTATTAATTATATAAATTTATATCTAAATAATTATTATAATGATAGTAAAATTCATTAAATATTACTATTATTATTGATATTTATGGTGTAATAATTATATTATTATAAGAATAAGTAAAATTTTGTAGCCAGTATTTATATGATACATAATTAAGAAATGACCTTGTATCTTGTGAACTATTGACATTTTTAAAGATATAAGTTCACCCTCATGTTACACTTATCAAGAGCTTTCATTTGAGTAACCACATCAATTTTTCATATATTTTTTATATATACATATATATATAATATATATTTTAAAAATATAAGCTCATCCCGATGTTACACTCGTCAAGAGCTTTCATTTGAGTACCCACATGAATTTTTTATATATTTTTCATATATACATATATATGATATATATAAATATATAAAATATATGAAAAATTGATATGGGTACTCAAATGAAAGGTCTTGATGAGCAAAATGTCGGTATGAGCTTATATCTTTAAAAATGTCAATGCTTCACAAGATACAAGGTCATTTCTTGATTATGTATCTAGAGATAAAATATATATTCTCAAAATATAAGCTCACTCCGGGGTTACACTCATTAAGACCTTTCATTTGAGTACCCACATGCATTTTTGATATATTTTTCATATGTATATATATTTATGTGTATAATATATATAAATATATGAAAAAGTGATGTGGGTGCTCAAATGAAAGGTCTTAATGAGTGTAACCCCGGGGTGAGCTTATATTTTAAAAAATGTCTATATTTTACAAGATACAAGGTCATTTCTTAATTATGTATCGAGAGATAGAATTTATATTTTAGAGATATAAGTTCATCCCGATGTTACACTCATCGAGACCTTTTATTTGAGTACCCACATCAATTTTTCATATATTTATATATATTACATATATTTATATATATTTCATATATGTGTATATGAAAAATATATCAAAAATGCATGTGGGTACTCAAATGAAAGCTCTTGATGAGTATACAATCAGGATGAGCTTATATCTTTAAAGACATCAATTGTTAAAAAAGTACAGTGCAATTTAACAAAAGTCATTATTAAATAAAGCAAAATTTTATTTATTTATAGTTAACAAGCCACGACAGTCACATAGTGACTGCAAGGTTGCTAGTATATTTATATTAAAATAAACTTGACTTGGATCTTTGGTTTAAAGGTCAATAAAATGCAGTGGTGGTCACATATTGTCACATCAGATCCGGAAATAAGTACCAAGAAGGTAAATCCAGAGCCGAGCAAACTCTCAGATCTTGATGGAGAGACTCGCGGTCTTGTTGAGAAGATGATGTACGATCAGCGGCAAAAGGAGCTGGGATTGCCGACATCTGACGAACAGAAGAAGCAAGATGTCATTAAAAAGTATGTACTCTTAGATAATAATATACATAAACACAAACGAGGCACAACACACAACACAAACAATTATTAATGCCAATAAAATTTGAACTTTCTATTTTAGGTTTATGCAACAGCATCCAGAGATGGACTTTTCAAAATGTAAATTCAACTGAGCTGCACGTTATTTATTTTAAATAATTTTTTTTTTTAAATTACAATATACCGTGCGTCGTTTCGTTTTGATTAATTTTTTATCCTTCAAATTTAAAATTCATTTATCATAAGTTTAATCTTGATTTTTAAATAATATATAGAATTAAGTCGCAGATATTTTTATTCCGTTCAGCTAATTGTAAGGATCTAGGTCATTAATTATTAATTTTTTTTTCTTTTTAAATTCTTTTTGTATGTCACAATTTCGACCTAATACATATGTCACACTTAACGACGCTGTCACTGTAAATTTAGAATAAAATAAAATAAAATTAAATGAATAATAAATACCATGGACGATGGAGCTATTGATCAAGAAAGACTGGATTTTGTTATTGAGTATGTTAAGAAGAATCCTTCATGACAGTAGCAATCCAGTTGATGTAGTTTGTCAATTTGGCATAAATACCAAATTTACCGCGTTTGCCGCAGCCTTCACCGAAACTCGTGATGCCAAAAATGGTCCAAGGATGATTAGGCCTACTGGGATCTCGGCACAAAAGCGGTCCCCCGCTGTCGCCGGCGCAAGAATCCATTCTGCCGCGGTGGTACCCCGCGCAAAACATATTATTGGTAATTTTGTAGTCTTCATACATGTTTCTGCACGCCTCCGACGAGACAATGGGTATCTAAAATTTTAATCAGCTCTAAGTACACACATTACAATAATAATTGCCTGTCTAACCATGTCTTTTTTTTTTCCTATGAGTAAAATAATTACAGCCTACAAATTAATGTGAGAATTTTTCTCTTCTTTAAATTGCAGATTGTAAATTATCTATATTATTAAAAGAATAAGAAAAAGTTTGTATCCAGGATAATCATATCTAGACATATTATATCCAGTCTTTAAAAATATCAATAATTAATAAATTACCTTGTATCTTATATAGTACTGACATTTTTATAGATATAAGCTCATCCTGATGTTACACTCATCAAGACCTTTCATTTGAATACCCACATCAATTTTTCATATATTTCATATATTTATATATATATATATTATGTATATGTATATATGAAAAATATATAAAAAAATGCATGTGGGTACTCAAATAAAAGCTCTTGATGAGTGTAACATCAGGATGAGCTTATATCTTCAAAAATGTCAATAATTAAAACTGACTTTGATATCTTGTCAATAAACGATCTTTTTGAAGATATAAGCTTATCTTGATATTATACTCATCAAGACCTTTCATTTGAGTACCCACATCAATTTTTCATATATTTATATATATTATATATTATATATATATATATATGTATATATGAAAAATATATAAAAATGCATGTGGGTACTTAAATGAAAGCTCTTAATGAGTGTAACATTGAAATGAGCTTATATCTTAAAAAATGTCAATGTTAACAAAGTACAGTGCAATTTAACAAAAGTCATTATTCATTAAAGCAAAATTTTATTTAATTATAGTTCACGTCATGGCAATCACATAGTGACTGCAAGGTTGTTAGTAAATTATAAAATAAATTAATTTTAATACTAACACGCGCTTCGTGGAGAACCTCGGTCCCAAAGTTGTCTGTTGTCTTAGATTTTCCCCAACCGATAATTGTGCAGAGCTGATTAACAGGAAGCGGCTGATTAGGCGACGGGAGGCAAGCGATCCCGCGTGAAGATGATGGATTTAATGAGTAAGGCAAACTTATAAGCGCTACATCATTGTCAACCGTATCTGTGTCGTAGTCGGGATGGATTTTCACAGATAAAGACGAGTCTATTATAAACTCCAGCTCCGTTCCTTCTTTCACCGTTAAATCGTGCTCTCCAAGCCGCACGTAGATGTGCTTGCGGATGCAGTGCGCTGCGGTAAGCACCCACTTTGGAGACACCAATGTCCCACCGCAGAAGGCCTCCTGAAGTAATTTTATTTCACGGTAATAACAACAATAATAATAAATAATTTTATTGTATGACTGGTTTCTGTTAGTACCCGATATCGATTAAGGATTGCGACTTGCCAAGGCCAATTCCCAGCTACTGCCGGATGTCCACCAATTATCCTCAATAAATAAGATAACTTGCTTTGCTTCTCTTGTTCAGTAACCCCGCATTTCCAATTATTATCATCGTAGTTATTGTAATTGTAATTGTAATTATTTATTTTGTTAGAGTTTGATTGCAACTCATCTAATAGATCATTAGTCACTGTTCCTGCAAGGATTTAGAAAATTAACTGTTTATGTTGTGTTATGTTTCATCTATTACTCGGAAGACTGTGCAATAAAAAATTTATTACACTAAGTATGGTGTAAATTATTTGTAAGATTTTAAATACTCATGGTGTAACTCTTACGCAAGGTTCTATACTCGTAAAAAAAATATTTTATTTTATTAATTTACACCACGCAATCTCAATAAAAATTTCAAAGTTAAAATGATTTATAAACTTTTAAATTTATATATACTTAAAACTAAGAAATTTTAAGAAATTAATAAAATTAATTTAAATGATATTTAAAAATTTTTTTAATAAATTAATTATGAAAAAAAAATCGACATTTAAAAATTAGAAATGCAATTTTTTTTTAAATAGTTTTCCGGAAAAAATTTGTTAAATAAAATTCAAAAATTGTCAAGTGACTGACAACTTTAATGTCATTAAAAAATTTGATTATTAATTTACACCAAACTGATTAATTTTTTTTTTTTGGTAAATATTTACAAGTGGAGTCAATAATTTTAATTTTTATTTTTTTGAAAGAAATTTCTTTTTGATATTATTGATAATTTTTTTTTTAAATAAAAAAAGGAACAATTAAAAAAAAAAAGATTATTACAATTTTAACAAATTTTCAAAAATATTTTTAAATTTTTTAGAAAATTGTGATATTCAACTTTTTTTTTTTAAGTTGATCATTTTTTTATGTACTTAAAAATATATAAAAAACATCAAAAAAAAGATAAAATATAAATTTTATTCAAAAACATCAGTCAAAATTTTTTTTCAAGTTTTGAAGGCAAAAAAGCTATCGAAATCTTTATTTTCTTTTTCAGGACATTTTTTATCATAAATTCGCCGTAAAAATAAGCAGAATAAAAAATAATTTGAAAATGTTAATTTTTCACCTAATTATGGCCAAAATAAATTTGACCCAACTTGTAAATAATTTTATAGTTTAAAAAAAAAAATACCAGCGTCTGGATACTTCTTAAATCCTTTCCGGACTTTTCGGTATATCCACTTTTGACAAAAACTTCCTTTTACATAACAGTAAGCGGTTTCTCTTATAACGTCACGTTCACAAGTGCCTGGCTCTCTACACCATCTGTTTAGCATAATAAATACAAACATAAATATTTATTTTTAAAATTAAAAAAAAAAAAAAAAAAAAAAAAAAAACATTTTTTTTATGATAATTACCTTTGACGCTGGGTTGTACATGATTTAGTACAAGGCGACCATTTACTCCAATTTCTATAATTACCGGCAGTAATTCTTTTCCTGACTTTAATATTCTGCCTTTGATGTCTGTAAATTTTTTTCAGGTCCCCAGGTTTGACGAAGCTATGAATCGCCGTTGAATTGTCAGCAGAAGTATTTTGCACTTGCAAACTTAACGAGTGATTGAGTTCCTGAAATATTTTATTTAATAATAAATATTAAATCAAAGTATCCGCTTATAGAAGTTATTTTTGGAATAATGCAAACGGGTGCAATGGAATGGTCTCCATACACAATCTACAATCTAAAATATACAATACAACTTATGAATAAATTTATTAATACAAAAGTAACAATTACTCACCGAGTGACACAATAGTTGCAAATATGTGGTGATAATAAATATCACCACGACATTTATGGTGTCAAAGATTTTAAATGTTAAAACCATTCTGTTCACGGCAAAAAAAAAATAAATTGTTAATTATAATTAAAGAAGACTATAAAAAATAATATTAGCAGTTTAGTAAGAGCACTTGGTGAATATGCGAGCAGTTATGGGAATAATATTGAAATGGCGCAAGCTTATGTTGATTTCTGGCAAGAGTGTTGTCTGGTTCGGGTCTCGCGTTCACAACCACCCTTTCTTATTATATTACATACATACAAACCAAAGTTATTATATTTTTTGTTTTATTTTCTTTACGTGCCCTCCTGTGTCTTGTCTCAGTCTCGGGTTTTTGTTTTATTACACTGAGAATGTCTTCTCTAAAAATATATCGTAGAGACTTGAAGAATTTCGAAAACGGCGGTAAATAGAAGACCTCCCAAATTCAATATGCTTCTAAGTAAACACCTATAGGGTAAGTGTGAATTTTTTTATTTCAATGATAAATAAATGGTTTTAAATTTAAAAAAATTGTTGCTAACAATTGAAATCTTCAAGAAAATATTTGCACAGTAGTTTTACACGTACAACAATTATTCAATTTGTTATTAATAAATTATTAAAATTAACTGGTTATACAGGTAGTAAAAAATAAACTATAGCTTTTTTGTGAGTTTCTATACGAAAAGAGGTGATATGCTAAAAGATCTTTTCTTTATATAAAATCGTTCAAATTTAATATTTTTTGCATATAAAAGTAACTATAAGATAACCCTTCTTTAATATCAGTCATATATTTAAAATTGAAATATGACACTGAAGATGACAGACATTAAAAATTTTTTTAGAATTTTATAGCAATTAAATTATCATGAAAAAAAATTTAATTAAAAAATTTTACATGTGAAAATTAATTAAAATTATAGGTAATTGAAAATTTTTAGAAGCATTTTTTTATTGTCATTGATTTGTTAAAAAAATTTTTTAAATTGACAACTGACGGCTAACTTCAGTATCATTTATATATTGACAGTCATTAAAAAATTTTTTTTAGAATTTTATAATAATTTAATTATTATAAAAAAAATTTTATTAGAAAATTCAACATGTGAAAATTAATAAAAATTATAAGTGAAAATTTTTAGAAGCATTTTTTTATTCTGATCCGTTAAAAAAAAATTTTAAAATTGACAGCTGACGGCTAACTTCAGTATGATACATATATAATATATAAATGGATATTTAAATAAATAATAAATTACTCACATAAAAAATACAAACGTTAAAAAGTATTTTTTTTTTACCTAAGAAGAAATAAAAATTAAATTGAGAAGAAATAATTAATTTGTTTATTTTTTATTCAATTATTTGTTACAAAAATTTTTTGCTAAGTGCCGAGTAAACGTCATATGGGGTATAAAAGCGGAAAAGTTTAATAAAAATGATTGGTCGCAAATTACAAGCCGACCAATAAGATTGCGCCATTGTCACGTGACACGATTGGTGGAGAGATGGCGGGTCATGTCATGTGACAGCTGGTGATTTCACTGTTAAGTATTCTTAACCTAAAATTCTCCACGTTGTGAGTTTCAAAACTAGTTTCTGAAGATGAGTTTTTAAAATTGAGAAAAAATGGAAAATTCTATTAAAGTTTCTGGAGGAAAAGTTAACGAAGGAAAAGCCGAGATTTTGGTCGAGGAGACTAATGTTTTTTACAATCCCGTGCAGGAGTTTAACCGCGATCTCAGGTGTGTTGTGATTTTTATTATTGTTTTTTTTTTTTATTTTGAGGGATTATTTTTAATTTTGTAATATTTTGACAGCATTGCAGTGCTGAGTTTGTTTGCTAAGGATAAGTATGAGGAGAATTGCAAGAAAGCTGGTGATAATAAAGATGGAGCGGAGAAAACTGATGGTGATACTGTTGACATAAAACCTGGAGATAAAACTGAGGTGAGGATTAATTATTAGATAATAAAACAGCTGATCAGTTTTTTAAATTATTAATTTAAAGAAGGAATCATTTTTCTTTATTGTACATTGTTAAAATTAATTGTTGAGGTAATTCATTATATTGATTATTGAGCTGTCATTTGACATACTGAAATTTTATAAGCATCTGTCAATTTTTTAATTTTTATTAGAACTCAATTATTATGAAAAATTTTTATAATGCTGAAGTTAGCCGTCAGCTGTCAATTTTAAAAATTTTTTTAACAAATCTACAATAAAAAAATGCTTATAAAAATTTTCACTTGTAATTTTTATTAATTTTATTAAAATTAATAACTTTTAGAACTTTTATTTACAAATAAATTATGGCAAAAAAAATTGACATGAAGAAATTTAAAAATGCAATTTTTTTAAAATAATTTTTTAGAATTAATTTAATTGTTAAATAAAATTAAAAATTTGTCAAGTGACAGCTAACTTTAGTGTCATATTAATTTTTACATGTGGAATTTTTTAATTAAACTTTTTTTATAATAATATAATTGCTATAAAATTCTAAAAAAATTTCTAATGACTGTAAATAAATTTTTAATAATAAAATTTGACATTTAAAAATTTTTTTAATTAATTGATTTTTAATAAAAATAAATTAAATTTATAAAAAAAAAAAATTAAATATAGAAATATTTCAAATAAATTAATTGTATGATACCTATTTAGAAATTTTTATATTTAATTTTTTATTTTAAATAAATTATTATTTATTATTATTATGATTATAGAATGGAATATCAGTATTGGAAGCATTATCAGCGACAGGATTACGAAGTATCCGCTACGCTAAAGAAGTTCCCTACTTAAAACAAATAATAGCGAATGATATATCAGCCAAAGCCGCTGAAAGTATTAAAAAAAACATAATACACAATAAAGTAGAGCATTTAGTAACAGCTAGTCAACAAGACGCTACGTAATAATCTCATTTTCAATTAATCTTTATAATAAAAAATACCTCTACTAATTTAAAAATAATTGTTCTGTAGAATGCTGATGTACCAATCAAGACAAACACGGTTCGACGCTATTGATCTAGATCCTTATGGATGTCCATCGATATTCTTGGACAGCGCGGTCCAGTCTGTAAGCAATGGCGGCCTGTTACTAATTACAGCAACAGATATGGCTGTGCTTGCCGGTAATTCTCCAGAGACCTGTTACGTTAAATATGGAGCTACCTCGCTAAAGTCCAAAGCTTGTCACGAATTAGTAAGAATATTTACCCTACATTTATTTAAATACTCTCTGATGATTAATGATTAATGATTGATGAATTTATAGGCCTTAAGAATATTATTGCAACACATCGCCGCTCATGCTGGCCGCTACGGTCGTTACATCGAGCCTCTGCTCTCTGTCAGCGTTGATTTTTACATCAGAGTATTCGTCCGCGTTTTTACTAGCCAAAAAAAATGCAAAGACAATACCACAAAGCTAGGAATGGTTTACCAGTGCACTGGCTGCGAGACTATGACACTAGGACCACTTGGTATCAGAGTTAATAAGGCTCATAAACTACCTCAGTCTCCGCCCGTTGGTCAATTGTGCAAGCACTGCAATCATAAACATCATGTATGATTTTTTTTTAACTTATTAGTTTATAATCTATATTATTAAAAGAATAAGAAAAATTTTGTGCTCTATCTCTAGATACAGAATTAAGAAATGACCTTGTATCTCGTGAACAATTGACATTTTTAAAAAATATAAGCTCATCTCGATGTTTCACTCATCAAGACCTTTCATTTGAGTACCCACATCAATTTTTCACATATTTTATATATTATATATCATATATGTATATATGTATATATGAAAAATATATCAAAATGCATGTGGGTACTCAAATGAAAGCTCTTGATGAGTGTAACATCGGAATGAGTTTATATCTAAAAAAATGTCAATAATTAACAACTGACATTGCTATTTTGTTAACTAATGATATTTTTGAAGATATAAGCTCATCCCGATGTTAAATTCATCGAGACCTTTCATTTGAGTACCCACATCAATTTTTCATATATTTATATATTTTATATATATGTATATATGAAAAATATATGAAAATGCATGTGGGTACTCAAATGAAAGCTCTTGATAAGCATAACATCGGGATGAGCTTATATCTTAAAAAACGTCGATAATTAAGAAAGTACCTTGCAACTTAATTGAAGTCATTATTTAATAAAGCAAAATTTTATTTATTCAGAGTTCACAAGTCACATAGTGACTACAAGGGTACTAGTTTTCTAATTATTTTGTAAATTTTTAGATGGGTGGTCCTATTTGGATTGGACCCTTGCATGATAAGCTCTTTGTTTCAAGGCTTTTAAATTCCATTGATGAAAATCATGCCGAGCTTGGAACTGTCAAGAGACTTGAAGGAGTTTTGAATGTTGTTGATGAAGAATTAGAAACACCGCTTTATTATGTGCTGGATAGATTGGTAAGTTTAAAATTAATTAATATAATCTAATAATAATACTCTCAATTTTTTTTAATTTTTATAAAAATTAAATTATAAAAAAATTCTGAATCTAGAATTAAAAAAAAAAATTTTATAATTAATTTGTTATTAAAAATAAACAATGTAATTAAGAATGACACTTTCAATTTTTTAATTTTATTTAACAATAAAATTATATCAAAATTTTAATTAAAAAATTCTGAATCAAGAATTTAAAAAGAATTGTTTTTATAATTAATTTATTAAAAAAATTGTCAGATGTTTGCTGAGTATTATAATTAATTAATAATATTAATTACTGAATTGATAAGTAAAAAAAAAAACCTCGCGTAATTGAAATGATAAATACTAATTACTTAATTGACATTTCAGATGTCTATAGTAAGATGCGACACACCCTCGATGATTAAATTTCGATCAGCGATACTAAATGCTGGTTACAAAGTATCGATATCGCATGCACATAAATTATCGATAAAAACTGACGCACCAATGGAAGTAATATGGGACATAGTACGCGCTTGGGAGAAGGTTTGTCTAATTTATTATTGACAATTACAAAAATTAAATTTATCTAATAGAAAAAAAACTATATATTTTATAAAAGTAGCCATAATTTATAATTTATAATGACTGATAAATTATAATATATAAATGGACAGATCCATCCGGCAAAACGTGATAGACTGGACAAAAATAGTGCAGCCTTGGCAATCCTATCCGCAGAACCAACAACAGCTGACGTTTCATTTGATTTACATCCTTCAGCGAATCCAATGTCACGTCAGAAACACATGACGAGGTTTCAATTGAATCCCACGTCTTACTGGGGACCCGGCACTAAATCCACTACCATGTAAATTACTATTTTTTTTTTTTTTTTTTATTATATTCCTTTTGCATTCTTTCAATTATTCAATACTGTTATTAATTTATTTATAATCTTTTTAAGGATCAACTCAAATGAGACAACAGCCAAGAGATTAAAGAACCAAAACAAGCGTTCGAAGAAATCAATGAACGAGCAAGAAGACAATCAGGCAATTGATAGTCCAATAATTGAAAGTGACTCACCGCCTAGTAAACAAAAAAAAATAATAGACAATACATAGTTGTACTCGTATGTATATTTTGTCATTAAAAATTATTTTTTTCAGCATAATACTAAATTTAATTTAATTAACAACATAACTTTATAATATACAAATTTTTTTCAACCGTGATTTTAATAATTAAATGAGTTTGTTTTATCACCAATGCGGTCAATATTTTTAATTAGTTTTTAAACTAATTCAAGTCGAGATGGAGCATTCCATCTTCGCTAAAGATCGAGACGGAATTGTCTCTTGTTGTATAAATTATAACTTTATAATTTATTTATCAGAAAAAAAAAAAATAGATTTATAGAATATATATCAAAAAAGAATGAATGTACGCATTAATATCTGTCCTATAGAGATGTTTTACATCTATGTTATTGGGAGAATGAGAAAAATTTTGCGTCCAGGATAGTCATATGATAAACTTGGTTTTTTTTTAGTGAAATTTAGTGTCATTGCAAAGGTCTTGATTTTAATTTGTGCCTTTTCAATGTTTTATTTCATTCTCGCCGATAGTGAATTTATTATGAGAAGTATTTAGGCTGCATTTGAAAATCTATGAAATGCTCTAAATGCGCTAAATGCTCTATCTCTAGAGACATAATTGAGAAATTACCTTGTATCTTGTCAACTGTTGATATTTTTGAAGATATAAGCTCATCCCGATGTTACACTCATCGAGACCTTTCATTTGAGTACCCACAAGCATTTTTATATATTTTTCACATATACATATATGTAATATATATGAGCATATGAAAAATATATAAAAATGCATGTGGGTACTCAAATGAAAGCTCTTGATGTTTGTAATATCAAGATGAGCTTATATCTTTAAAAACGTCAATATTTAAGAAAATACAGTGCAATTGAACAAAATTAATTATTCAATAAAGCAAAATTTAATTCTTTATACTCACGGCAGTCACGTAGTGACTGCAAGATTGCTATTTTATTTTTAATTAACTTTTTGCTACTATCCAAATTTTTAAGGTCATATGATAGTTCATAGTACTTGCTCGCAATATAATTAGAGCTTTTACTACAGTTTTATTCCCTCCTTCCAAGAAATCAGTGTATTTCTAGTGTCTAATTGTTTACTTATAAGCCTTTTAAAATATTGAATGCATATGCTAAGTGTATTTAATATACCCGATTATTTTTAACGTCACTCTTAAGTACCCTGCAACTTAAAGTATAGATATTTATATTCAAATAGGAAGATCAGCTACGTAAAAAATAATCCTCATACGCGCTGTTGAGTGGATTAAGAATCCCTACAATAGCAAAGTTATCATATAAATACAGGGTCATGACTGGGGGCTGTGAAGAATATAAAAGACCGTGATTTCAACCACCGGGTTCAGTTAGTTCACCAAGTTTAGTCACTCAAATTCATAAGAATATTAGAAAAATGGTTGTTAATTTTAAAGTATTCAAAAAGTGCTCACCCAACGGCAAACTCGCGGTGTATTTAGGCAAACGTGACTTTATAGACTACCTATCAGGAACTGAGCCGATAGACGGCGTTCTGTTGGTCGACCAGGACTACGTGAACAGCGGTCGCCGAATATGGGGCCAGCTGGTGTGCAATTTTCGGTACGGCCGCGAGGAAGACGAAGTAATGGGCCTGAATTTCCAGAAGAATTTATTCATGGCTTCAGAAGAACTCTACCCAGCTGCTGAAAAAAAATCCAATGTTAATTTAACAAAATTGCAAGAGAGATTGTTAAAGAAATTGGGACCCAACGCAGTAGCATTTAATTTCACCTTCCCACAATGTTCTCCAGCAAGCGTGACTCTCCAGCAGGGATCTGGAGAGTCCGGAGAGCCTTGCGGGGTCAGTTATTACGTCAAAATATTTGCAGGGGAAAATGAAACTGATGTAAATCATAAAAGAAGTACTATTTGTCTGGGTATAAGAAAAGTTCAATTCTCACCTACTAAACAAGGACGTCAGCCTTGCACTGTAGTGAGAAAAGACTTCTTGTTAAGCCCGGGAGAGCTTGAGCTGGAGGTGACTCTTGATAAGCAGATTTACCACCACGGCGAGAGCATCGCTGTCAATATTTCCGTCAGAAATAACAGCAATAAGGTTGTTAAGAAGATCAAAGCTCTGGTCCAGCAGGGCATTGATGTGGTCATCTTCCAAAATGGCCAGTTTAGAACTGTGATTGATGCTATTGAGATGCAAGACGGATGTCCCATCAGTCCTGGGTCCACTCTGCAGAAGGTGATATATCTGAAACCAGAGTTGGAGAATAATAAACACAGAAGGGGAATTGCGCTTGATGGAAGACTTAAAAGAGAAGAAGATGAGCTGGCTTCCAGCACTCTTATTACCACTCCTGATGTCAGGGATTCTTTTGGAATAATTGTGTCTTATGCTGTCAAGGTCAAGCTGTACTTGGGGGCTCTCGGAGGTGAACTCTGCGCGGAATTGCCATTTATTTTGATGCGCCAGAAGTCCAATGAACGCGTCAAGCTCATGCCTTCGGAGAATTTCAATGTTGAAGAACTGCAATCAGATGAAAAATGTGTCAAAGAATAAATTATTTTATTAATATGTTTGTTTTTAATTATTGTTATCTGTAATTGTGCTTGTTTAATTAGTTACTGATTTTTTTTGGTTACAATTGTTATTAATGGATTTTTAGTTTGTTTTATCTTTATTGATTTTTTTATTATTATTATTATTATGACACATTAAGTAGCAGATATTTTATACTAGTTTAAATATTTGAAGAGCATGGAAGTAAATTCAGCAGATATTTAATAATTTTTTTTTTATAATTAATTATGACACTAAAGTTGACAGAAATTTTTTTAGAATTTTAGAGCTATTAAATTATTATAAAAAAATTCCACATGTGAAAATTTATAAAAATTACAAGTGAAAATTTTTAGAATTTTTTTATTGTAATTTATTTGGTAAAAAAAATTTTTTAATTTACAGCTGACGGCTAATTTTAGTATCATAATAAATTATGGTAAAAAAAAATTGACATGTAGAAATTTTAAAAAATAAAAAATACAATTTTTTAAAAGTAATTTTTTTTTAACAAATTTGTTAATAAAAATTAAAAAATTCTTGATTGCATAATAATTGCAATTTATTAAATTTAGAAGAAATAAAATTTAAATTAAAAAAAAAAAATTCCACTGATACTTTGTGTGTTATAATTATTTATTGTTACTGTTGTTAATAAATATTTATTTAAAAATGTATGTATAAAATAAAAATAAATAATGGAAAATAAAAATTCGCTTTTACGCAATTTTTAATAAATAAAATATTTCATGAGTAATATATGTAATTATATGTTTAATTAATCATTAAATAAACTTGAGGCGTTTTTAATAAAAATTATTAGCGTAAAAAAACCTGAGCAATTTAAAACAACAAAGTGTTATTTAAAATTCCTGTATTTAAATCTAACCATTAACTCCCAACAATAAATTTATAAAATCCACAATAAGGATAATTTATGGCCGGGTATTGTCGGGTAAAATGAACCCGTAATTGTCGCGACCACCTGGATGAAAATAAATAATTAAACTAAACCTGAAGCGAAAAAAATATACTGTAGTGGTTTTACTTAGAGACTTTTACTTGGCACGTCGTGTGTATGAATGTCTGTATTATATTATATTACATATATGAGAGGTACGTATATAATACAATACAATAAGCGGTGGTAGTACCGCGAAGACGGCACGGTGGTGGCGACGCTAAATGTCCAGCCGTTCCTTCCAAGTGGTTCTTCCAAGCCCGTTCTCCATCGCGAACTGCAGCGCAACAACTCTCAAGAAGCCGTAGTCTCAATCCGACTTTGGAGTTTTCAAATACATGCGCTCAGCTAAAAAAAAATATATACATTAAAATTAAATCCAAATCTCAAGTGCGAAATTATTAATTAAAATTAATTGATCAGTAAACTTCAAGGTGGCTTGCTATCATCTTCATGATAAATATCCAGTGACCAGTGTTGTGATATAATACTAAAGTTAGCCGACAATTTTAATTATTTAATTTTTTTTCTATTAAATTGGAACAAAAAAATATTTTTTTCAATAATTTTTTTTAATAAATAAATAACATTAAAGTTAACAGTCACTTTACAATTTTTTAATTTTATTTAACAAAAAAATTTATCCCAAAAAATTGCATTTTTTATTTTCTTTAATTTTTACGTCAATTTTTTTTTTTTTTATTTTTTTGTCATAATTTATTTATTAAAATTTAATAAATATCTTCTAAATTAATTTTCATAAATAATTAACATTAAATTTAGCAGTCACTTAAAAATTTTTCAATTTTATTTAACAAAAAAATTTCTCCTTAAAAATTATTTCTAAAAAATTGCATTTTTAATTTTTACAATTTTTTTTGCCATAATTTATTAATTAAAATTTAATAAATAGATGCTTAATTAATTTACATAAATAATAATCATTAAAATTAGCAGTTACTTAACAATTTATTAATTTTATTTAAAAAAACAAATTTATTCCAAAAAATTGAATTTTTAATTTTTTAAAATTTTTACAATTTTTTTTTGCCATAATTTATTTATTAAATTAAAATTTAATAAATATCTGGTAAATTAATTTTCATAAATAAAAAACATTAAAATTAGCAGTCACTTAATAATTTTTCAGTTTTATTAAAAAAAAAAAAAAATTTGTTCCAAAAAATTATTTTTAAAAAATTGAATTTTTTATTTTTACATTTTTTTGCCATAATTTATTTGTTGAAAAAATTATAAAAATTGAATAAATACCTCCTAAATTAATTTTCATAATAAAAAAAAACCTCCAAATTTTTTAAATGTCAGCTGACTTAAATTTAATTGTAGTGGCAAAAGTAAAGAGTTGATAACCTGAGTAAAAAAATAGAAGAAATATTTAGTGGAAATAAAAGTTGGATAAAAAAATAAAATTAAAGCTGAAGACTGGCGTGTATATACGTGGTTGTGGTATTGTAAGATTGTAAGCAAAAGCAACCGGTACGGGTGAGCTCGTGAAAGAGGAAAGAGTGAGTAAGTGAGTGCGGGAAGGTATCTTGTAGTATCTCGCATCATCAGTATCTCTCAGTTGGTTTTACTGAGCGTGTCGCGCGCGCGTTCTCCAACTCGCTCGCTCCACTCGCTCAACCTCAACAGCTAAACCAACTTAAACTTAACTAAAAGTACAACACACAACACTCGAGCCAACAAAACTCGAGGACGCTTTATTTATCTGTACACTACCGGCTCTCGCACCCACACATCCTCTTACTTCTTCAGTCGAGTCGTGGTCATCGCGATTGTCGTCGGGTAGCTTAACGGTTTTTTTTAACAAATATTTTTTCGAGTTTCTGTGATACCTTTGCTTCGCTGATCCCCCGCCTAAAGGTCTACACTCTGCTGCTCTACCCGGACCAACGTTACTCACTTAACTGGTAAGTTCCTTTTTCCACACATTTTTACTTATTTAATTGCTCATTTTTATTTTAGGTGTGTTATGTGGTCATTGCATTTATTTTATTTAATATAAATGATGTGTGTTGTGTTTATGTGTCCGATAGTAAACATACACAAGTAGTTCGCCGTAACGCAGAGCTACGTTTGCACATTTTAACATCCGCCGCCACCACCAGACGTCTGGCATATCAAAAATCCCTTTTTTATTCTCACTTACACTTACACTTAACTCCACAAGGAGTCATGCTCATACTTGTACTTGTTTTAACTTTAAATGTTTTAAAAAATAAATAATAGTAAAGTTAGCCGACGTTTTTAATTTTTTTTTTAATAATTAAATTAAAACAAAAAAATATTTTTAAAAAATTGCACTTACAGTTTTTCAAGTTTTTAACAAATGACAATTTTTTTTTTAGTCATTTTTTAAATAAAAAAATTCTTTTTAATTTTTAAATTTCGGCTAACTTAATTTTCATTGAAGTTAGCCGACATTGTTAATTTTTGGAGTTATTTTTTAATTATTAAATCAAAATTAAATGTTATTTTTAAAAAATTGCACTTATAGTTTTTTAAAATTGAATTTTTTTTTTTTAATACTTTTGTCAATAAAAAAAATTCTAAAAAATTTTAGATGTCGGCTAACTTAATTTTCATTAAAGTTAAAGTTAATATTAAAATATTAATGAAAATAAATTTAGCAGATATTTAATAATTTTTTTTTTAAATAAATTATGGCAAAAAAAAAATATTAAACTTTCGTTTTCGCAAATATTTATGATACTGAAAATAGCTGACATACAAAAAAAAATACGTTTAAATTTTTTGCTGATGAAATTTTTTTATAAAGTTATTTATAGAAAAATTTTTAAATAAATTTTTTAAATTATCCGCTAGTTTCATTGTCACAAATATTATCGTTGAAGAAAAGGTTTTAATTTCTTTACTTCTTTGAGAAGAAATATTTTCTTGGGCTAAATATACACGCGGATGTACTAGTTTACATTTGATTTTTTGTGACGGGATAATTTTCATAAGCGTCAGTGGGACTGTGATATAAAATTGGTGATCGAGATGAGTAGGCAAGAGCTATTAATGGTGTGATCTCTGCTCTGGGTGGTATGGATATAGAAAAGTAGAACGGAGAATTGTAGACCTTTGTAATTCGGAGTCATCTTCACGATAATAATAATAATAATAACAACAATAATAATAATAATTTGATCAAATTTAATAATTATTAAATAACAATAAAGTTTATCAATATTTTTGATTTTGCCTAATTTATTAAATTAGAATTAAAAAATATTTTTAAAAAATTGCACTTATATTTTTTGAAGTTTTTTACAAATGAAAAAAATTTTTTAAATTTTTTTTTAAGGAAAAAAAATTATAAAAATCTTTAGATGTCGGCTAATTTTATTTTTATTTATTATTATTGTTATTAATAATAATTTCTACGAATTGTAACCTAATAATAATAATAATAATCTGTAAATCATTACAAATATAATATTATATCAGTGAATTTATATAAAATATATATGTATATATTTTTGACAGTTTATAATTTATGTCTACGTATGTATAAATATTTACACTATTGATATGTACGTATTTTTATCGGTTCTTTCTTTTCTTTGTGATAATAAAGCCAAGTAATTGTATCAACTGTTCACACATGCTCTTTACCGTGAAAAAAACAGTTATGTACCCGAATAAAATATACATATATACATGTATATATACAAATATATAAATGTATTGGTATGCATTTTTATTTATTATTATTGAAGCCGGGAAAAGATAAATTTTAGCAAAAAATTTATTGTTAAATTTATTGGCGAAGTATAAATAATTGTAAATATATTGAGTGAAAAATATGTTAAGTATATCCTACTCAGTCATGCATATAACAGCTTAAATTTTAAGTGGTACAGTCGCGAATGAAAGAAATTCTATTTTTGGAATTTTATACAGTGAATCAGTTATAATACTAAAAGAAAGGAATGTGTGTATTTTATCCACACATTTAAATTACATATGCAACATCTGTTTTGCGATGGGAAATATTCACTCTTCTTGGTGTTATTATTTAATATATTTAAACATTAAAAACTTTTAATTTAATTTCATTATTATTATTATTTAAATTATTAAATTGAATCATTTCAATTCAGACATTTCCGTTATGAAGAATATTTCTTCATTTAAATGCGTATATTTTTTAATTGCTCATAAATATTACGGTCGTTGTACTTTTTACTCCCAATAAATAAAAAGGGGGCTAACTATACTATTAAATATATATTTAACACTATTATATTTTTTGTTTTAGATATTCGTACACAGCCAAGAAAATATTTTTCTTCCTAAGTATTTTTTTGAGCAAAAAAAATTTTTTTTTGACAAGAAATTTTACTTATTCTAACAGAATTAATAAGTCAAGTCTTGTCCAGAGAAAATTTCTCTCTTGTTCCAAAAAATTAAATATAAAGATAAAAGTAAATTTTCATTAATATTTTTATTGATTAAAATGTTAAATGGGAAGATCAAATAATATTTCATCATTTTTTTTTTTTTTCATTCAAAATGTATAATTGCACGGTAAAATAATATAAAATGGGTATCAAATATTCAAGAGAAAAATTTTTTCAAGGTGAGAAAATTTTTTTCTCAGCTAAAGTAGGTGGCGCTGCTTCCCTAAAGTATCTAAAAATCTTGATCAAATATAAACATTTATTGTATCAAGTATTTATGATAGAATTAAGAAAAAATTACTTCCACCAAGAATAGAATTTCAATAAAAATTTTCACTCCGCCCAACACAACTTGCCGGTCTTCCTTCAGGCATTCAAAAATTTTTTTGTGCCAAGAATTTCGTTATTTAGTCAAGAAATTTTTCTTTCTATTTAATGAAAATTAAGTTAGCCATCTAAAAATTTTTTTATTGAAAAAATTATTACAAAAAAAATTTCATTTGTAAAAAACTGTAATTGCAATTTAAAAAAAAATATTTTTCTGTTCTAATTTAATTGAAAAAAAATTAAAAACGTCGGCTAACTTTAGTATTATAAAAAATTCCATCTTTAGAAGCTTAATTTCAAAAAATTACAACTGCAATTTTTCAAAATAATTTTCTAGACTTAATTTATTATTCTAGAGGAATCAAAAAATTATTAATGCTAATTTTAGTTTCTTAAAAAAATAAATAAATATTAAAAAAAAAAAAAAAAACCAAAAATATATTTAACACTATTAAACTTTTTGTTTTAAATATTCTATTCGTACATAAAACGGCATTTAGAGGAAGAATGAAAGTGATAATATTGTGGTTAAAAATAGTGTCACCCTTAAAAGAAACAGTGACTCATAACTGCGTGACATAATATTGCAAGTCCGGCAGCGTAGCAGCAACTTAACTAACAGAATAGAAGTTGGCTTAAAAAATTTATTTATTCAGAATAAATCCCAAAAATAGTCTTTATAAATTTGAATAAAGAAGAAAATTCAGTTGATTTATAAAGTACGGAGGAAGTATAAATAAGAATGAACTTTATTATGAATATGAATATATGAAGTAAGAAGAAACATCCGGAAGATGCTGGATGGAGTTTCTTTATTTTTAAAACATTCATTTCTTTGAAAAATGACTTCTATTTATACATCCTATTCACTATTTTACCTTAAGCATCGTAACCTAATAATACACTGTACTCTATACTAACTTGAGTTTTATTTAATACAAGCGCATACCAGTTAGCTCGGACGCCCAATACTAATGCTATTAAATATTATTAAAGTACGGTTTCACTGAGTCACTTATCTGGACACAACAAGGATCTGTAATCCTCTTTTTTATTTAAATACATCTATATTATATATAATATATGTAATGTATTTAGTATTTAGATTCCAAGGTATCATCACATCACATGTACACTTCTTCCGTTAATTAACTCAATCTAATCTCATGCATTCCATGCGCAATCATCGCGCACATAATTATTAAACTTTCTGCCAACCATAACAATTATTATTACTTATAATGAAAGTTATACGCAAAATATTTATTTGCTCAGCTCATGAATCTTTCATCTCTTCTTTTATAATTAAATCTTACTCGCCATTTTAATTCATTGCGCACTTCTCAACTTTGATTTTAATTTTTTCATTTTTGGTCATTTATGTCTTCATCTTCTTCCTCTTCTTCTTCTACATCTTCATCTTCATTTTCATCTTCAATTTAGGAACCAGTTAATTATCGTTGCAAGTAATTAAACTTCAAAATTCAAACAGTTACACTATTTTAGAATGTTATTATTATTATTATTATTATTATTATTATTATTATTTTGTTATGATGCTTTTAGCTGTAAAATCTTGTAAATTTTTTGAGTTTTTAAGTTGAAATTTAAATTGTGGGTTAACTATTAAAGATTTAAAAATGATAAGAATTTTTTTTCTAGAAAATTTAATTTTCTATAAAAAGCGTCCACATTAATTTTATTGTATCTTGCCTCTAATAAAAACAATAATAATTTTTGATTATAATTTATTTAAAAAATTCAAACTTAGTATAATGACAATTTTTTGAGTTTTTAATTCGAAATTTTAATTGTGGGTTAAATATTTAAAAAGAGTACTTATGAAAAAAAAGAGTACTTTTTTTATAGAAAATTTAATTTTTTAAAAATGATCCTCATCATTTTTTTTGTATGTTGTGTCTTTAAGATACAATATTAATTTTTAATAATAATTTATTTAAAAAACTCAATCTTAATTTATTATAAATTAGAGTTTTTCATTTGAAATTTAAATTATGGGTTAAATATTGAAGATACAAAATAATGAGTACTTTTTTTATAGAAAATTTAATTTTCTAAAAATGGTCCTTATTAATTCTAATTTACTTCAAAATTCATTTTTTATTAAATATTGAAGATACAAAAAAATGATAAGGGTTTTTATAGAAAATTAAATTTTCTATAAAAATGGTCCTTTTCAATTTTATTGTCTTGCGTATTTTATCCAAAATATCAATTTTTTATCATTGATCTGTAGCTTAATTATTTTAATTTTATATAGAAATATTTCTTAATTTCGCAAAATTATTATTATAATATTTAAAAAAATTTATTTAAATCACTTAGTAAAAACAGAGAGTCAGTGTCTTTATAGCGCGTGCGCTGATGGTTTTTCTCTTAAAAGCTGCATGACTCGTAAGAATCCCGGAATGTTTTTTGGCTAAGGTTCAAAGCAAGCGGTTGTACACGTATGTCTAGAACGTTAGTGTGAGCAGTGTATATAAGTAAAACATAGTTTTGTTAGCTAAACATACGGATGGAATCAGATATCAGTTTAAAAGTGAGTTCAAGTACGCATACCTTACCGACAACGATCAGACAGGAGAAAAAGAAGACAACAATTTGTTCTCGGCCCACAAATAACACAATAACCTGGTACATATTCTGCTCTATTAACATTAAAAGTTTCCAATTTCCCTTTTATTCCTCCACACTGATAAAAAAAATTAACGACTGAAGAGCCAAAAAATTATTCTTGATTTAAGTAAATTTTTCTTGTCTTAAGAATAATCATTTTCTTCAAAATCCAAGATTTTGGCTCTTGAGTCAAGTTAATTTTTTTATCAGTGCACTAATGTCATAGTCATACTAATCACATAAATATTTTTCCTTTTCCCAGCAACAACAACTTTTTATTTATTTCGGGCGATCTAAAGAAGAAATCCTATTTTAAAAACCGTTCACCGAGGAAGAAAGAACGCTCTCAGCTCATCTGCTGGCTCTTTTTATCCCAGATAGTCCAGCAGCCCTTTTTTTACAAATGTCTTGCTGTTAAAGCATGAATACTTGGTTCATTAGGCACTTGTGCGTGAATGACATGAGTAAATTTAATATATAATATATCATTATATTAAATGACCCATAGGAAATAATTTAATTTTTTTCCTCAATGTTAGTTTTAATATTATTGTTTTTATTTTTATAAATCCAACTAAGAGAATTAATTTATAAATTATAAAAATAATTTATAATTTATAATAATAAATATTGAATTACAGGGGAAAGAAGCTCGGCGGTTGATTTTGTTGGAATTACGGAAAATCTCGGTCGGAAATCCTGTGGATATAAACCACAGTATAAACCACAGTAATCTTGTAACTCGTTACTGTAACCAACAAACACACATACACGTGATATAACGACAATATCTCGGATTTCATCGTTGTCAAAATAGGTTTTGTTGTTTGGAGCTGGTTACACTTACACTGGTGAGGATAGGATAAATAAGAACGAGAATTAACGGCTAATAATAGGTACATACATGCGTTTGGTGGTTGCTCCGTTGGAAGCAGATCTCCTCTCTACTCTCTACTGTTTAAAGCTGGCCAACGTTAACGGATAGACCTGTACTGACATAGTCTCTTACTCTGTTGGTTGTTACTCTTACAACCTCACTGCTTGGGATTCCAAGACCCCAACCTTTTCTTCTTTTTCTGAATAGTTCGCGGGTTACTGGATACCCGCTTAATTTACACCACGTATTTGTCAGCGTTAATTAATTATTACTAATTATTTACCGACTATTATGTGAATAATGACAATCACAATGCAAGTTTTAAGACCTAGAGCACAGGAATGAATGAAATCTTGTTTAATTTATTTTAATGGGTTCCCAGGGGGTTTTTTTTTTTTTTTTTTTTCAGGGAATGATTAAGTTTCATTCAACAGGTTGACCTAAAGAATTTTGTTTACTTGTTAGAATTACAATTATTTTCTTCATTTTTATTTTTTTATCAATTTTAATTATTAATTTCATTTTAATAAATTTTTATTTAATAGAAAGAATGAAAATTTATTAAATTAAAATTTTTTAATTTATTTCTATTAGAAAATTTTTCAAACTAGATCAATATTGATAGAATAAGAATTAAATAAATTTTTATTTATGAAAAATCATTAAAAAATTAATTAAAATTTAAAACTTTAGAATTTTTATTAAAATTAGTTTAAATCTGACAATTTTTTAAACTAGTTCAATTATTAATATAAATAAGAATTAATTTTTATTTAATTTAATAAAAATGAATAAATTAAAATTTATTTGAAACTTTACAATTAATATTGAAAATAATTTTTAAATCTGACAATTTTTTAAATTAGTTCATTTATTAAATAAAAATGAATAAAAATTTATTAAAATTTGAATTTTTTAAATGAAACAAAATTTATATTAAAAATAATTTTAATCCGGCAATTTTTTAAACTAGTTTAATTTTTATTGAATAAGAATTTGAATTATTAAAATAAAATAGAATTGATATTAAAAATAATTTAAGACAATTTTTTGAACTAGTTTAATATTAATAGACTAAAAACTGTCAAAAAATGTATGAAAAATAATACATTTGACATTTTTGAATATTCTTCTCTAATAATAGATAGTTACAACCCAATTCATTAATGAACACAAACAAATTGTCAGATGTCGGCTATTTTAGTTACCATAAAAAATTAAGCTTTGAAATTTAAAATTCTTAATCCGTCAAGTCTAGAGAAGAAATAAATACCCCAAAAATTTGTTTCTTCACCCAAATAACAAAATGTTTGTTGTAATTGCAGATAACCCAGTTAAAATATGGCGGAACTAGTGGAGAATAAAACTACAAGTTTAGTAAGTACAAAACAAAACGATATTGCGTGCGGTGCCAATTCTAACATTGCTTTGATAAATATTGACAAAATAACAGCAAGTAGTGAAGAACTTGGTGACAATGATAATAATATTGAGGAAAAGGGGATAAATGGTTGTATAATTATAAATAATGTAGAGGAGAGTAGTCTTAGAAGTATAATTGACAATGAACTCGCATTGATCCGGTTGAAAAATGAACTTGAACAAGAGAATAAGAAAATGTTGATTGATGAGGAGCAGGAGCAACTGACGAATCACCATCATCAATTGGAGCTTTCTTCCCAGCTATGCCAAGATCTGGTGGGCATAAACAACAGCCGACTCATCATAGAAACAGATATTGAGGAGTCCAACGGTAACTTCAGCCAAAATTTTTTAAATAATTCAGGTGAAATCCACGAGCGTGCTCTGGGGAGTAATAGTAAGCTTGTTGATCATCAGAGTTATCAAGATAACAATAATGATGTCGCGGCTGCTACTGCTGCTACTTGTGATGCTGCTGGTACAGATTTAGATCCAGAACCGACTGCCCTGAATACTTTAATTGATTTTCTTGAGGATAGAGGGAAGAAAAGTGAACTTTTGGCAGAGGATTTGAAAAATGCGGAAGAATCTTTACCAGAGCATTCTGTTATTAAGAAAAGTTGCGTAAGTATTTTTGAAGATTAAAATCAAATTGAGGATAGATATATAATGATAGAAGGATTTAGTATGGAATACTAAACTCATTTAGTAACAAAATTTTTACTTATTTATTTGGGAGAAAAAACAGTTACAGTTCAATAAATCTACGGTCTAATTAGCAATTGGTCTCTCCTCATTTTTTTAGAGGGTAATTTTTCAATATTTTGATGTAGCAATAGTCTAATTATAAATTATTTTAGTCATTCAAACTAAAATATTATACCTCCATTAGATATTAAATAGTTTTTTAAAGTGATAATAAATTTTTAACTAATTGTTTTTTCGTACAAATGGAAGATTCTCTGAAATGGGGTTAGACAATTTGCTAATTAGAACGCCGAAATGATTTCTTTATATGAAAAAAGCCTTATTACACGAAACTAAATATTTATTTCCACCAAATAATATTTAATAGTAGGTACTAAATCTTTTGATCCAGACAAAAAACTGGTTATCTTCAATTATCAATATTTGTTTTGAACTTTTTTTAATTTAGCTATAAAGTGCTATTGGTTATGAAGCTGCAATTCGATTTTTATTTGTAAATCTTAATTATTCTCGAAGTAATTAATATTTATAAGTTCAGAAAACTGGTCTTTTAAAATATAAAAAGATACCCTTTTGAAAATCAGCTCCTCAAGTATTGTCGGTAGATGGCTATGCCTCAATTCCAATGTGATAAATAATCTATTCACTGACTCAGATTATTTTATTCAGCTCGATTTTGGGAGATTTATCTTCCCTTTGAAAACACACATACTCTCAAATGACTTATAAGTAATTTTTCAGAGGAGTTTAATTAAAATTTTTCAATTTTTTTATTATTGATACGTTAAAAACTTGTATAGTTAAAATTTTTATAAAAAAAAATATAATTTAATGAGATTATTTTCTTTATAATAGGGTAAAAGACTCCATTAGTGGCGGGGATCCCATTACTGACACTTTGTTTGATTTTGTACTTTTGGTACTTATTCAATTGATGGATGATCAAAAAAATTATTAATTTTTATTCCAAGTAGAACATTTTTTGATTGAAAGAAAAATTATCCCTATTAGGGTCTTTTACTTTATCTCATATTTTTACTTAAAATTATTTATTTTATATATTTTGATTTATTTTTTAAGTTTAAAAGTTAGATTATACGCTAAAATTAGTTAAAAAATTGATTTCTTTGATACCAATTAACGATTTATTGAGTAGCAATAAATAATTTGTTTTAATACTACTAAATATTTATTTGGTGGAACTAAATGGGCTTTAATAAATGATTTAGTAACCATTACTGAATATTTAGTAATAAAAGATTTGTTACTAAATTATTTAGTATCTGTTTATATTACTAAATCTTATTAAATAGAACTAAATCCTTCTATCAGTGATATAATGATCATTTTTAAGACGATAATTATTCTCAAATTATTTCTTCTTTTAAGATGAAAAAAAACGTCAGTGAATTTGTCGTTAATGAGAGCGAGAATGGATTTTCAGTGGATTTTCCGTCGCTAGATCTTTATTCTAGCGGCTGGCAAGATTCAGCCAGGTTTATCTTTAACGAGCAATTATCAGCGACTAATAATAACAAAGATATTATTAAGAAGAAAACTGAAGAGATAATAAATAAAAATATTGATGGTGATTCTTCAGTTAAAGATTCCTCAAATATTGAAGATGATATTCTCACGGAAACTTGTTTATCTAGACAAGATCCTATTGAGAGTACAATAATAAAAAATAATTGCTATGAAGATTTATTAATAGAGTTTGGTAGCAGTTGCAACAGCAGAGAGACTGGTAGTAGTCTTTATCGAGAAAATAGTAATGAGGAATCATTGACCGGCTGCAGCCGCCAACAGAAGCAACAAGTAAAAAATTCTTTACTGCTGACTGAATTAAATCATTTTAATGCCATTGATTCACCAGAACCCGGCGAGGACGAGGATGAGGAGCTGGTTACTACCGAGCCAGACTCTAAGATAATGTCCGATATAAATTTAACTGGATCCAAAGATATTGTTCTTCCCGACAGCGATAATTGTCAATCTGACCATTCCGAGTTAACCATTGTCAGCGACTCGCCTAAGAAGACTAACGATCTTATTATTAACAATGACAATATTAATAACAATAATAATGTTAATACTGATGAACTTACTAATAATTTAGGTGTTTGTGAGAGCATGTCTATTTTTTCCCTATTAGACCCACCACCAGTTTGCCGAAAAATATTTGATGACAATTTAACAAATGCATGCAGTGTAAGTTTTGATATAATCTTTTCTTCTTATTTTTTGCTGAGAAAAAAATTATTTTTAAAAAAATTGACATTTTTGTAAAAAGAATTTTATTTGTTTAAAATTTTTAATTCTTAATTGAAGAAACAGAATTTTTTGTTGAAAAAAAAAATTAGACAATTTGTATCTAAAATTGTTTTCTTTTCAATTTTAGAAAACTTTTTTTTAACAAAAAAATTATTGTGAAAAAAATTGGGTGAATATTTACAAGTGAAGTTAACAATTTTAATTTTAATTTTTTTAACCAAATTTCTAGTTGATTTTTTTGATATATTTTTTTTTAATACATAAAAAATGAACAATTTAAAAAATAAAGTTAATTATCAAAATTTTAACAAATTTTCAAAAAAATTTATAAATTTTTTAGAAAATTGTGATATTCAATTTTTTTTTTAATTGTTCGTTTTTTTGATGTACTTTTCAAAAAAAAATGTATCAAAAAAAGATAAAATAGAAATTTTATCTAAAAAGCAATATAAAAAAAAATTTTTAAATGTTATTTTTTTACCTAGATATGGCCAAAAATAAGGTGAACCTCACTTGTAAATAATTACCTTTTTTTATAATAATTTTTTATTGAGAAAAAAAAATTTAGATAGATAATTTGTATCTAAAATTGTTTTTTCTCTATTTTAGAAAATTTTTTTCAAAAATAAAGTTATTATAAAAAAAATTGTTATTTCTTCAGCTAAAAAAATAAAATTGTTTAAATTAATTTTTTTAAAATAAATTTTTCCTCTCAGCGTGTAAAAAATTTTTGGTTTTAATTTAAACATTAAAAATGCGACTTTAACTTGAAACTCTTCTCACCGCAAACCAGAAATTTTTTACAGTGTCTCTATTAAAACTTAAATAACATTGTACTGTACAAAATGTATAAAATATTGTGTACTATTACGTTGAAGCAACACTTTGTTGCGGTAATTTACAAGTAGATGATTTATCTCTGGTAGATTTAGTGCATGATGTAAATATGGGCTGTACCAAGTACAAATTGCAAAGTGTAAAAATGTATATAAATGTCTATTTGATTAACGATTATTTGGTGCAGACCGAGAGTTCAGAGGAGGTGATAACAACCAGCACAATAACCTCCACGACAACTAAAAGTTCGGCTAAAATAAAGAAGAAAAAAATCGAGGGTGTCATTGGTAATAGCGACGTTACGTCCCAGTCTCCACCTCAGTCATCAATCAGCGCGACGCGCACTAAAAAAACTAAAAAGAGCAAAAAAAAGAGCGACCTCGAAAAGGAAAACATTTCAGTGGTTAGTAAAATTCAAATATTTATTTTTTTTTGTTTAAAAATATTATTTTTTTTTTTTAATTCGCCTGCATGATCGCTTCGAGCATCCCAACTTTTATACAATCAGTAATTAGCATTAATAATTAGGAATTGTATAAGAGGTTTAATGAGCGTTTAGGCATGGGCAAGTTCTTTAATATGTTTGACGCATGTTTAGTGTATTTTGTGTGCAGAATATTAATACTGGAGACTCAAGCATGCACAACAATAATAGCCACCATAATTACCGCAATTCCGTGTCCGCGGAGGAGTGTATTTTAGACCAGGATGATTTTTCAAACGTTAACGTCAAAACTCTAGTGAGTATTGCTACAAATTAAAATCGTTTTTGCACAATATTTTTATTTTTATTTTTATTATTATGTACGCTGTTAATTATTTTAGAAAAAAAAATATGTTTTTATTTTTTATTTCTTCTTAAAAAATTATATAAAATTTAATAAACAGCTGAAACATTTTTTAATTTTTACAATAATTAATTTATAAAAAAAATTTCATATATAGAAATTTTTTTTCATAATAATTTGTGTTATAAAAATTTCAAGAATAAGTTAAATATTTTTTTTGAAAATTAAATGAAATTTCTAAATAAATTATTAATTAATTTTAATTTTAAGTTAAAAAAAAGTTAATGAGATTTTTTCTGGAAAATTAAATGAAATTTTTTAAATAAATAATTTATGATTTAATTATAATTTTAAGTTAAAAAAAATAAATAATTAGATTTTTAACAGCGTACTAATTGTGCAGACGTGAAATTTTTGGCACTAAAAAAAAACGTGAATTAGATAATCAAAGTGTCGGAGTTAGCGATATCTGCATGACTAAAAAATAATAATAAAAGCTACTGATTTATTTCAATCGCATGTAGACACAATGTTACACATTGGAAAGTACTAAGTGCAAAGAGCTGACGAAATTCAATAAGGAAACAATCGAGACCGGAGTATCCATTAAACAGTTGGTGAGTGTGACATTAGGGGTCATAAATTACTATACAAGGTATCTTTGTACTCTTTGTACCTTTCCAAGTGCTCAGATTAATGCAAGAACAAAAAGCATAATGCCTTTATGTCATATCATATCATATATTTAGCATTTTATTATATCCTGTGTAATTGCTTTATCAATACTTCTCTTAAATCTTATATACAAGCGGTGGCTTAAAATTATGAACTCGAGATTTTTTTGAGCTTTTTAAAATAAGTCACACTTATTTATAAACTTAACATATTTTACACCCGCTTTCATCCTGTTATTTATTTTATTTATTTTTTTTTTTTTATCTAAATAATTTATTGCTTATCCACACAAACATTCATATAAAAGTATACTCAGCTTGCAAAATCCTTGGGATTAAAAAGTCTTCAGTATAGTTAAGTCACCTTGTTATTTTTATTATTAAATATATTATTTTTTGTTACAGAAGTCGAGTTTCAACAAGTTTGACGCCCTAACTAAAAAATCAGTCCTGCACACCCGGTCTTCAACTGACACGGTAAAAAATTTAATTATCTCTCAATAATTCAAAAAATAATTTATATTATTAAGAGAATAAGCGAATTTTTGTGGCCAGTGTATTTATATGATAAAATAGGTTTTAAACTTGGTATTTTCGGAAAAGTCTTGACCTGGAATTGTGCCTTTTTAAGGTTTCATATCATTTTCATCAATAGTCAATTAATGATGATAACTATTTAGGCTGCAATCGAAAATGCTCTATCTTTAGATATATAATTAAGAAATGACCTTGTATCTCGTGAACGATTGACATTTTTTACGATATAAGCTCATCCCAGTGTTACACTCGTCAAGACCTTTCATTTGAGTACCCACATCAATTTTTCATATATTTTGTATATTTATATATTTCACAAATATCAAATATATAAAATATATAAAAAAATGTCATGTGGGTACTTAAATAAAAGGTCTCGATAAGTGTAACATCGAAATGAGCTTATATCTTTAAATATAACAATAATTAAGAAATGACCTTGTATTTTGTCTACTACTGAGATTTTTAAAGATATAAGCTCATCCCGATGTAATACTCATTAAGACCTTTCATTTGAGTACCCACATCAATTTTTCATATATTTACATATATTACATATATGTATATATAAAAAATATATCAGAAATGCATGTGGCTACTCAAATGAAAGCTCTTAATAAGCGTTATATCAGGATGAGCTTATATTTTTAGAAATAACAATAATTAAGAAATGACCTTGTATTTTGTCTACTACTGAGATTTTTAAAGATATAAGCTCATCCCGATGTTACACTCATTAAGACCTTTCATTTGAGTACCCACATCAATTTTTCATATATTTATATATATTATGTATATATATGTATATACGAAAAATATTTCAAAAATGCATGTGGGTACTCAAATGAAAGCTCTTAATGAGTGTAACATCAGGATGAGCTTACATCTTTAAAAATATCAATAATTAAAAACTGACCTTGTATCTTGTCTACTATTGATATTTTTTAAGATATAAACTCATCCCGATGTTAGACTCATCAAGACCTTTCATTTGAATACCCACATCAATTTTTCATATATTTTATATATTTATATATATTATATATGTATATATGAAAAATATATAAAAAATGCATGTGGGTACTCAAATGAAAGCTCTTGATGAGTGTAACATCGGGATGAGCTTATATCTTTAAAAACGTCAATATTTAAGAAAGTACAGTGCAATTTAACAAGTCATTATTTAATAAAGCAAAATTTTGTTTATTTATAGTTGACAAGTCACGGCAGTCATATAGTGACTGCAGGTTGTTAGTTAACAATTAATAAAATAAATCTCTTAAATGGTTGAACATCTTAGTTGATCCTCAAGGACTAAAAAAAAAATTTGTCTTTAGGCGGGACAAAATGGTGGGTGTGATGCGAACCCGAATTGCCGCAGCTGTGGCAAGGTTGTGTTTCAAATGGAGCAGACAAAGGCCGAGGGTTTAATATGGCATAAAAATTGCTTCCGATGCATTCAGTGCAGCAAGCAACTTAATGTCGACAATTACGAAAGCCACGAGTGTACGCTCTACTGCAAACCACATTTTAAGGAGTTATTTCAACCGAAACCTGTCGACGACTCGAATCGCTCTCGTAAGTTTGGTTATACACTTTGCTTTGCATTATACATTCTACCATCTACCATCTACCATCACTGTACCTATCCCCCATACCTTTAGGCGTGTACGGGTATAGGATGTATGTATATATGACTAAACCAGGTGTGTGTCTGTCTGTAATACATGTACGCCAGACAGTAGGACTATCGACATCGACTGGCCGCCCGACTACCAAGCTTCTCTATTATCCTCGACAATTCATATTTATTATTCATCCTAGTTGTGGTTTATTAACAATTAAATAAACTCATTCATTAGTTTATGTAATGATGGGTATACATGATTAATTTGAAAGTCAGTGAAAGTATTAATAGTGATTATATATTATTATTCTTTTGCAGTATGTCCGCAAAAACCGGAGATGATTATTCGAGAGAACCATCCTAAAGAGTTACCACCTGACGTTGTTAGAGGTAATTTTTTTTTTTTTTAATTATTATCTATTATTAAATGGTGCTAAAAATATCAGACATATCCATTCAATCCATTCATTTATATTATTAAGAGAATAAGTAAAATTTTGTGCCCAGTGTATTTTTATATAATAAAATGGGTTTTTATGATTACATTTGGTGTCGTTGGAAAAGAGTTGTGCCTTTTTATGGTTTCATATTATTCTCACCAATAGTCAATTTATGATGATAAGTACTTAGGCTGCAGTTGAAAATGCTCTGTCTATAGATACATACTTAAGAAATGACCTCGTATCTTGTGAAGCATTGACATTTTTAAAGATATAAGCTCATTCCGATGTTATACTCATCGAGACCTTTCATTTGAGTACCCACATCAATTTTTCATATATTTTATATGTTTATATATATTATAAATATGTATATATGACAAATATATAAAAAAATCTTGTAGGTACTCAATAGAAAGGTCTTGATGAGTGTAACATCGGGATGAGTTTATATCTTAAAAAATGTCAATAATTCAGAAATTACCTTGTATCTTGTTTATTACTGACATTTTTAAAGATATAAGCTCATCCCGATGTTATACTCATTGAGACCTTTCATTTGAGTACCCACATGCATTTTTGATCTATTTTTCATATATTCATATATATAATATATATAAATATATGAAAAATTGATGTGGGTACTCAAATGAAAGCTCTTGATGAGTTTAACTTCGGGATGAGCTTATATCTTTAAAAATGTCAATTGTTAAAAAAGTACAGTGCAATTTAGCAAAAAAGTCATAAATTTAATAAAGCAAAAATTTATTTATTTTTGCAAAAACGCTAGTTTATTATTAGAAAAATTGAAAAAAATTTTTTGTCTGCTATTTTTATTGTCATTAATTACTCCGGTTTGAATTGTTTGTTTATAACTTACTAATGGTATAAAATGTGGTTGTGATGAAGCTTCTGATAAACCGGATCTTGGGCTAGAAGAGCTGTCATCACTTAACGTTAAATCACGCTTTCAAGTATTTGAGAAATCATCAACGAACGAGCAAATGAATGACATTGAAAAGTCCGCTTCACAGATATCTGTCAAGAGATCACCGAGTATTCTCAGTAAACTTGCTAAGTAAGTTTATTAATTATTTATAGTTATTAAATCCAGAGTATTTTTATTTTTTTTTTTTTTTTAATTTATTTATTTATACTTATATTATATATAAAATCGATTTTGTCTAAAAATAGATTTCAAGCTAAAGGAATGGATATCGGAGTGGCTGATGAATCATTGAACGGGATACCGTATGAAGAGTCAAGTGAAAGTGAAGAAGAGGAAGAAAATGAAGAAGACGAGGAGGGTGATGCAGACATAGTTAAATCGAAAAAATCAATACGCGAACGTCCGATAAGTTTTACTAAAATGGACGACATGAAAAATCGATGGGAAGTGACGAGTCAACAAGGCAGACGTGAATCACAGCGTGAAGCACGCAAAGAAGAAATTGCCGGCATACGTTCAAGGCTCTTTATGGTATTAAAATATACTTTCAAACAATACTTTCAACTATCTAGCTCTAGCTTGTTATTAAAGATTTGTTGCTAGTTTTATTGTATTATTCCGTTCTATTATCAGTTTGCAATAGCGTGCTAATTTTTGTGACCTATACTGAGATTTATTTACAGTCATTTAAATCTTGTATTAAATAATTCCGAGCGTAAATCTCTATTGATTGCTCTTTTGTTTTCTTTCGACTTTAAGCAACCATGTTGTAGATTTCATTAGGATTTTATTCTATTATTATATATATTATTATTATTATTATTATTACTATTTTTAATAATTATTTATATTATTAAGAGTATAAGAAAAATTTTGTGGCCAGTGTATTTATATGATAAAGTGGGTTTTATGGTTAAATTTGGTTTTGGTTAAAATTGTTACATAATTAAGAAGTGACCTTGTATCTTGTGAACAATTGACATTTTTAAAGATATAAGCTCATCCCGATGTTACACTGATCGAGACCTTTCATTTGAGTACCCACATCAATATTTTATATATTTATATATATATTATATATTATATATATATGTATATATGAAAAATATATAAAAATGCATGTGGGTACTCAAATGAAAGCTCTTGACGAGTGTAACACCGAAATGATCTTATATTTTTAAAAACGTCAATATTTAAAAAAGTACAGTGTAATTTAACAAAATTCATTTTTTAATAAAGCAAAATTTTATTTATTTATAGTTTGCTAATTATTATTATTATTATTAAAAAAGTCCTTATCAATTTTGCGTCTTTAAGATACAGAATTAATTTCTTGTCATTAATATGTGGCTTATTCATTATTGTCTATACTGCGCATTATTATTATTATTATTATTATTATTATTTGAGTAAACGACTATAGACTGACACTAAAGTTATTTATTGTGCTTTTAGGGTAAGCAGGGTAAAATGAAAGAACTCTACCAGCAAGCAGTGGCTACTAGCGAGCGTGTCACAAAGATAAATCCTGCTGAAGAGTTCCAGTGCACACCAGCTCACGCACGTTCAATAAAAGAAAAATTCGAACGTGGCGAGCCGATAACTTCTTCGAATGAGGATGAAGCTGATAGTAACAGCACAAGCAATAAAATAAAACAGGAAAAACCAGACGAAGATGTTATTGCAGCTGGTAAAAAAAAAAAAATAAAATAAAATATATATAATATAATATAATATAATGTTTATAAATATATCTGTGTAGGACTTAGATTTCGCATAACATCTTGAGGATGTTTATGAGTGTAATTTATGTATGCAACTAAAAATTAGGAGCGCGTTTAAATTAAAGTTTTACGTCTTAATTTCAGGTATAAGTAGAAAATCTCGGAGTTTATTTTTGGAATTGGATGCATCTGCGGCCAAAAGCGGAAGACCAATGACACCCGCAGCAGCACCAGCCAATTCAAAGTCTCTCACTGATGCTCCAAGACGCGCTAGAGATGTAAGTTATGCTAGTACTATAATACTACATTAAGTAGGCCATTTACTTGGACACAAATGCTACAGCTATTAATTGCTCATTTACTGTTTTGTTTTATTTATAAGAAATTCTTCTAAGTAATAATAACAACCCAGGAATTTAAATACTCTGTACTGCAGATGTAGATATTTGTAATAACTGTTATCAGTATCATCTTGTAAATTACTCGTTTCTATTTTATTTAAATACTTTGAATTTATTATTATTTTTTTGATGATAAGTATTTAGGCTGCATTCGAAAATGCTCTATCTTTAGATACATAATTAAGAAATGACCTTGTATCTTGTCAACTAATGACATTTTTAAAGATATAAGCTCATCCCGATGTTACGCTCATCGAGACCTTTCATTTGAGTACCCACATCAATTTTTCATATATTTTATATATTTATATATATTATATACATGTATATATAAAAAATATATCAAAAATCGATGTGGGTACTCAAATGAAAGGTCTTGATGAGTGTAACATCAGGATGAGCTTATATCTTACAAAATGTCAATAATTAAGAACTGACTTTGCTATCTTGTCAACTATTGACATTTTTAAAGATATAAGCTCACTCCGACATTATACTCATCAAGACCTTTCATTTGAGTACCCACATCAATTTTTCATATATTATATATGTATGTATATATGAAAAATATACTGTAGATATTTGTAATAACTGTTATCAGTATCATCGCGTAAATTACTCGTTTCTATTTTATTTAAATACTTTGAATTTTTTTTTTCATTATTATTATTTAAAAAAGAATGATTGATTAACTGGGGAGTTGTAATAAAAAAAAAGATATTTATGGGACGTCAGGTACGAGCAGACGATGTGGTTCGTAGTACAGATACTACCGAAGAAATTCAAGTCGAGACATCCGACATCTCAAATAAATTTAAATTTTTTGAGACATATAAAGAACCGGAGAAAGAAAGAAAGCAGTTCAGAATAACGCCACCACGTGATGGACAAGTTAAGGTTTGTGTGCGTATGTGTGATGGGATAATTAAGATTTTGTTTTAATGGTGACTACGCAATTAAATAATACTGCATATACATTCAAATAATTACTATTATTGCTGTGTGTTACGCGTTTGCCGGTTTCATCTAACAGCACAATTAACCCTATCAAGATTATTATTATTTCCCATAATTACAATCTTCTTTATGATATTATTATTACATAATGACTTTGTGTGATTGAGTCTATTTGCAAGTTAATATTTTATTTTTTTTTTTATTAATATTATTTGTTATAATTATGGCCAGGATTTTTTATTTAATAATAACAATAATAATTAAATTTTTTATATATTGGTCATATAAAAAAATTTTTTTTAAAAGTTTAAAATTTAATTTTGTAAAAAAAAAGTATTATAGATTTTTTTTAAGACCAATAAAAAAAGCCGCAATTTTTTAATTAATTTTTTTATAATTAGTATAAATTTTAATAATTAATTATGAACTTTAATTAATAAATTACGGTAAAAATATTGGCTGTAAAAAAAAAATTACAAGAAAATTTTTTTGTAAAAAATTAAATTTTTAATTTAAATAATAAAAACAAAAATCTTGGATTTAATAATAATGTTTTGCTATGAGTTCAAAGAAACAATTATGATAATACTCAATAATTATTTTTATTTTATTATTATAAAACTAGGTGAATTCACCGGAACGTGAAATTTATCGGGATCCGGATGTAATACGAGCGGACGACAAAGTAGACCAGCTAGTTCATACAGACACGACAAAAAAAATGCTCTCCATATTCAGGCAGATGGAGGAGAAGGCCACGAAAGAAGATGTACCTGATGGACCAAAGCCGCTGAAGCGTTTCACACCGCCGCCGGAGGATAAGTATGCTAAGCTGACTGCTTCTGACACCGACGAGGAAGAGGACGGCGAGGAGGAGGAGGAAGATGGAAACGAGGATATCACCGAGGAGGAAAGAAGAAATCCTAACTACGTTCGGGCTTCCGATAAGGTAATCCTAATGCCATTAATTACTCATTTTTACAACGCATAAGTAGATAAATATTTCTTCAATGAATCACTCTATCTACCTACTGATAACTGGCTAGAATTATGTTGTGATTCAATTATTCTTACTTATCTAAAATATTCAAATAGTTATTTTGAGAATTAATCACCTCAGATAAAGATAAGAGTAATGATTATCTAATATTATTATGAGAGTAAGCAAAATGTTGTGAACAGTGTATTTATGTGACAAAATGGGTTTTTATGGTTAAATTTGTATTGATAAGTATTTAGGCTGCATTCGAAAATGCTTTATCTCTAGATACATAATTAAAAAATGACCTTGTATCTTGTAAACTGTTGACATTTTTAAAGATATAAGCTCATCCCGATGTTACACTCATTAAGACCTTTCATTTGAGTACCCACATCAATTTTTCATATATTTCATATATTTATATATATTATATATATGTGTATATGAAAAATATATCAAAAATGCATGTGGGTACTCAAATGAAAGGTCTCGATGAGTGTAACATCAGGATGAGCTTATATCTTACAAAATGTCAATAATTAAGAACTTCCTTTGCTATCTTGTCAACTAATGATATTTTTGAAGTTATAAGCTCATCTTGATATTACCCTCGTCGAGACCTTTCATTTGAATACCTACATGAATTTTTCATATATATATAAAAATGCATGTGGGTACTCAAATGAAAGCTCTTGATGAGGGTAACATCAGGATGAGCTTATATCTTTAAAAATGTCAATATTTAAAAAATTTCACTTCAATTTAAGAAGTCATTATTTAATAAAGTAAAATTTTATTTATTTAAAATTGCTAGTTATTTATTATTTACATTCAATTCCAGATGGAGGATGAATTTTTAAAGAATGCACAAAATGCAGCCAACGCTAAAACACTTCGTGCCAAGTTTGAGCAGTGGGAAGTTAATGACAAAAAAATTAACAATCATAGCACCACAATTGTCGATGAAATGGAGTTAATAAAAGCGACTAACGGCGATGGAGAGCAGACTAGCATAGAATCAACAAGAAGTCTCAAAGCAAGATTTGAGTCTTTGGGTACTCAGCAAGTAACCGAGTCTCCACGTGCGCCTAAAGTCAAGGTCAACAGATTCGTGGTAAGTTTAAATTCATAAATATATTTTTAAAAAAATTGCACTATGCATTTGACCGTTTTATTAACATGTTTACTGTATTATTATTTTTATTTATTCCTACACTTATACTTATACCTCAGTGATTTATATTTAATTTAATAATAAATTCTCATAATATATGTAACGCAAATTGGCACAGCATGGGAATGAAGTGAATAAAAATATGTGAGCAACGAATTATTTAAATTAATCCTTTATTCGTTTGAGGATTAAAATACGCTTTTATATATTTATATTAATTTATTAATTTATTAATCCATACTATTATTTATTTATGTATCAGCTTAATAGTTTATTAGCATGTTTAATGAATGACATTAATATTAGCAGTCATTTAACCTTTTTTTAATTTTTTTTTACAAATAAATTTTTTCCAAAAAATTGCATTTTTTTATTTTTAAAAATTTCTAAGTATCTTTTATTTTTTTTTTTTGCTAAAATTTATTTGTAAAAAAATTTCTAAAAATTGTCAAAAATCTGCTAAATTAATTTTTATGTTTGAGTGTGAGTAGTGTGTAATTTTGCATTATTAATTTTTTATTAATGTATTGCATTAAATTTTAGTTATTAATACTGTTGTCATGGTTTTGTTTTGTCATGTTTGTTTAATTATTTTTAAATGATTATAAATGTATGATGTATGTTAATTTATAAAATTATGTAATGAATTTTTGGGGTAAACAGTGAAACCCGGGGAGACAGAAGACTAAGGAAGACACAGCCCCGCTGTAGTCGAGCAACAAACTGTCTAAGCAGGCAGGACTGGGATAAACATTATCAAGAAACGTTATCAAAGCTTCTATTCGAATTCATCATTTAATTATCTTCGTTATTATTGTCGTATCAAAAAGTGTATTTTATATCATTATTAATTAATTATTATTATTGTTATATAATTGATGTTTAAAACAATTTAAATATGATTTTATTCAATATATTAAATATATTTAAGCGTTAAGTTGCAATATTATTATTATTATTATTATATTTTTGAGTTTAAAAATGTAACTCTGTATGTTTTTAATTATTTATTTATAGTGTCATTTTATTGACCATCGAATTTACGAGCTAATCAATTTATAAATATATTTAAAAATACATGACATATTTGTAAAATTTTTAAATTAATAAAAAAATATTTCATGTATTTTTAAAAGATCTTTCTTGATGTTATACCAATTTTTATGTAAAAGATCTTGTTAGATATTAATTATTTTATAGTGAATTTTAATTTATCATAGATACTGATATTTTGAAGCGCTTCCTTTGTTCGGTCTGTTATAAATATTATTTATAATACAGCCGACATTATAAACTTGGTATGATTAATTATTCTTTGTAATCATTGCTTATTTTTAATCAACTGACATGACTGAATTTTTACTGATTGATTAAAATTGACTTATAAAATGTAGAAGTACTTATACAAGTATATTTTGTATATGTTACAACAACGATATACTAATCGACTATAGAAACTTTTTACTTAATATAAATTTCAATAGAAAAAAAAATAAAAAATAAATAAGCAATATAACATTTAATGTGATGCAGTCTTTAGATTAACTCGTAATTTCCCTTTAATATTTTGAATAAGTAAAAAAAAAATCCTTATTTCGCTTGTGCTTTTATAATGAGAATTAAATTAGCCATTTAAAAATTTTTAGAATTTTTTTTTATTGAAGAAATTATAACAAAAAAATCAAAAAAAAATTTCATTCGTAAAAATATTTTTTTGTTCTAATTTTTTCAATAAAAAAATTAAAAATTGAAAACGTCGGCTCATGATTATGCTTTTATAATATATTTATAACATGTAAAATCGCTAAAAAAATTTTTTTAGTATGTGTGTGTACATTAAAAATAATCGCGCTTTTTGTCGCTAAAAAATTGTATAAATTTAAAGATTTTTTTTAAGCAAAAAAAAATAAATTTTTTTTCAGCGGATTGTTTTTTAATATATAGCTCAAGAGTTATTTTTAATTTTTATCACGACATAAATAAACAGATGAATTAAAATTTCTGACTGCACACATACTCGATATTAAACGAATTAATAAAACCTATTTGTACAAGTATTTTTCAACAACAATGTATTTATAACAATGTATTTATATCATATACACATTTAAACTAATGATTCTGCGAATCCTGAATATCGAAAAATAAAACGGTCAAATGCTCACAATAAAAAGAAATATATTTACTTAATTTATTTATTAATTATAAATAAACTACTAACAATTTTTTATACGATAAATTAGGGAATACCAACGACTGTTGACATAGATATTTGCGAGAGCTGCCAGAAGAAGGTCTACCCCTTGGAAAAAATAGAAACTAACAACAAGATTTTTCATAAGCAGTGCTTCAGGTGTTTGCAGTGCAATTGCATCCTCAGGTATTTTTTTATTGATGATTATAATTTATTTTATTTATGTGAGAGAAATTATGTTAAGATAAGAGATAGAAATATTGAATAGAGATATTTTTTTGTGAAAAAAAAAAAAATGTTTGTAAAACACACTCATGTGATACAAATAAAACTTATTTATTATTATGATATTTATGTGAGAGAAAATTTAAATAATAAAATTTTATTATTTTAGAATGGACTCATTTACTCTCAATAACGGCAAACTCTATTGTATTCCTCACTTTAAACAACTGTTCATTGTCCGAGGCAATTACGAGGAAGGCTTCGGTATAGATCAGCATAAAAACAAATGGATTAGCAACGGGGCCTTAGATATATCTCCTCAAAACACAACATCATCTCCGATTATAATAGACTCATAACCATAATACTTATTAGCGTTTACATTCATGATACTGAATTAAAAATTTCTTTAATTTTTATAATTAAATTATTATAAAAAAAAATCCACATGTAGAAATTTAAAAAAATTAAAAGTGCGAATTTTTTATTTTTTTCTATAATTAGTTAATTATAAAAATTAAAAAAAATTTTATCATTTAATATTTTTCAATTCATAAAATCAATAATTAATTAATTAAAAAAAAAATTTTAATACTGCTCCAAAAATTGATCATTTAAATATTGAAATACTCATTGTATTTAATCATAATCATAATTGATAATAATAAGCAATGTTTAATTTTTAATTAATTTAAAATATTACTGATTTATACAATTTTAGTGTAATTAATATTAATAATAATATTGTAAGTTACTATTTGTAGTAATTAATAATAAGTAATAATTCTCGAAAATAATTGTAATATTATAATGATAATTTATGGGTTTATAGGTGATAGATCATGAATATCAATTACTGCCACTTATAAAGTTATAGATAATAAATAATAAAGTATGCTTATATATCAATTAAATGTCCGTATAATTTCATTGTTTAAGCTGTTTATCAAACATTTAACTTATCATATAATTATTTTTAAATAATATATAATACGAGACTAATGTAAGACAATAAACATTTTATGATGAATCGACATTGTTATGTATAATTATAATTATTTAGAATGATATTTAAAAAACAAGATTTATAAAAAAAAATCTGTTGAAATTTCTCGGTCCGGTGTTTAAGTATTAACTCGGGTGAAAGGCCGAGCAATTGGTTTAGTTACTGCGCATGTTTTGTGATAAACACTAAAGTATTATCTTGGTAAGTCATTTGCCCAAGAATAATCAGAGATAAGTTGTGTTTTCTCAGAGAATTATTATATAAATAATTATTAATTATTATTAATAATAATTATTGAAAAAAAAAAATAATAATAATTTTTTTTATTGTAAATTTTAGGAATTAAATTAAATGGAAATTTGCATCGACTCAATAGCGTCTGCAAAGAACGCTATAAAAGGTGGCGCTAGCAGATTGGAAGCATGCTCTGCGTTATCCGAAGACGGCTTGACACCGACTCCGGGACTGATAAGGTTTATAAAAAATTTTTCCAAAGTCCCGGTGCATGCAATGATAAGAATCCGGGCTGGAAATTTTGTCTACACTGAAGAAGAAAAAGAAGCTATGTTATACGACCTGCAAATCCTGGACAGCGTCGGAGCAGATGGGTTCGTCTTCGGAGCTCTCAATCCTGACTTTACCGTTGATGAAGATATCTGTAGGGAAGTCATCAAAGCTGCCAAGTGCAAGCCGGTGACTTTTCACCGGGCTTTTGATGAGGTGAAAAATCCGCTGGCGGCTTTGGAGAAGGTCATCAGCTTGGGATTCTCCAGGGTTCTGACTTCCGGCCAGAAGAACACGGCTCCAGAAGGCTTGGAGATGATTACTGAGCTTGTTAAGGCGGCTGGTGACCGCATTGTTGTTATGCCAGGAAGTGGGATCACTCCTGATAATATTCTGCTGATTAAAGACGCTACGCGTGCTAGAGAGTTTCACGCGTCAGCCAAAATTCGCGTGGACTTAGATGATAAATTGAACAGCACGCGTGATGGAAAAAAACCGGCTACTACATTTATTATGATTACTTCTGAAGAAAAAGTTAAACAAATGGTTAGTATTATTAAATAATTTGTATTATTTTTGAGATTAATAAATAAAATTTTGCTTTATTAAATAATGACTTTTGTTAAATTGCACTGTACTTTTTTAACTATTGACGTTTTTAAATATATAAGCTCATTCTGATGTTACGCTTATCAAGAGCTTTCATTTGAGTACCCACATGCATTTTTTATATATTTTTCATATATACATATATATGATATATATTTTAAAGATATAAGCTCATTATGATGTTACGCTCATCAAGAGCTTTCATTTGAGTACCCACATGCATTTTTGATATATTTTTCATATATTCATATATATAATATATATAAATATATAAAATATATGAAAAATTGATGTGGGTACTCAAATGAAAGGTCTCGATGAGTGTAACATCGGGATGAGCTTATATCTTCAAAAATGTCAATAGTTCACGAGATACAAGGTCATTTCTTAATTTTGGCTGGCCATATCACTGGCCATAAAATTTTTCTTATTCTCTTAATAATATAGATTACCTGAATCCAGTTTGAACTCAATTTTTATACTCTTTGTTTTGAGTAAATATTTAATATTGATTATTATTATAGTTTTATTATTGATTATAATTATTTGCTTGATTTGATAAGTATAAATATGTCTAGCGATAAGCTACTTATAACGTCTGGTAATTATCTTCATTGGCTTAGTATTACGCCAAGCTTCTATCTGTTATTTTCTCACTATTTATTAATATTGATTGAATTTATTGAAGTTTTTTTTTTAATAAAATTTTGTAAGCTTGGAAATTATTTTTTCAAAGAAGAAAATTCCAGTAATCTGAAACAAAGTAAAATTTTATTAATTTATTGGATAAAAATTGCATGCTTTAATTTTTTAATTCATTAATTATTATTAAGGATATTTATAAATATAATAGTAATTATAATTTTTTTTTTGTCAGTATTAACACTGCGATGAGTGCAAACAAGTTCGAATTTTCAGAGCTGACTGAGCTAATTTCTGAATCGGTAAGAAAACAAATTGAAATCGAATTAAGTAAATAATTTTAGGAATAATATTTGTCCTTTTTTTGTGGAACTGAATTTTGCAGACATATGACAGGTTTCTTGTTTTTAAATAATTAAATATTTGCAAAGCAAAAAATTGAAAAAATACATAACATGTATGAATTATTTTTATAACAATTTTATAAAATTCTTTGAAATTTTTTAAATTAAAAATTTTTATGGATTAATTATGATACAGAAGTTGAGAGACGTTTAATAATTTTTTAACTAATAAATTATAGCAAAAAAAAATTAATTTAAAAAATTCTAAATGCAATTTTTTCAAAATAATTTTTTAAACCTAGTTTATTATTTTAAAAAAATCAAAAAATTGTCAAATTTAAATTAAAAATATTGTTTTAAATATTTATATTTATATTCAGAATGGTGGTAAAATTATTTTCGCAACAGACGATTGGTTTGCTGTAGCAGAAAATCTTTTGAAGGTAATATCACACCTGAGAGTTATGAAATAAAAATAAAAATAAAAATAAAATGTGCTAATAATAATTCTACGAAAAGGATGAAGAACCAGTGTGGCAAGAAGAAGCTTACACGGAATTCGGAAAATGGATGGACGGGTGGGAAACCCGAAGAAGAAGAAGTGCTGGCCATGATTGGGCGATAATTGCATTAGGACATCGGTCTATTGTCAAGGGTTTTTACGTCGACACTGGATACTTTACAGGAAATCACGCTCCGAGGTTTTCTATCCAAGCTGCGCGATTGGCAGAAAATGGTAAACAAAATAATTAAATTTAATTTAAAAATACAAATTACTAATTTAATTAAAATTACCATTTTAAATTAGAAATTTCTTCATTTCCGATAAGAAACAGTCAGCTTGGAAATGCGGCTTCAATGGAAGCCAGGATGCAAATAGCGCGCTTAAAATCTGAGGTGAGTTTCTAAAGAAAAAATTAATAAAATAATTTATGACATTAAAATTAGCAGTCACAATTTTTTTTTAATTTTTTTTAACAAATAAATTTTTACCAAAAAATTATTTTTAAAAAATTGTTTTTTCTACTTTTTTTTTGCCATAATTTATTTGTTAAAAAAAATTCTCAAAATTGTAAAATATTTTCTAAATTAATTGCTGATAAATAAATAATTTAATTAGAATTGGACGACAATAGTCCCGCAAACAGAACTGCAACCAGGGTACGAAGCGACCCGGCGACAAAATTTCAATTCAACCTCGACAGAGCAATGGACCCACCTGCGTCTGAATCTTTTCCCCGATGGAGGAATCGCGCGACTTCGCGCCTACGGTTTAATTATCCCGCAATTTAAACCCAGAGAATTCGCGGTACGAATCGATCTGGTGGCTCAACAGAATGGAGGAGTCTGCGAAGAGTACAGCAATGCGCACTACGGTCACCCGCGGAATTTGATAAAGTCCGGAAATTCCTCCAGTATGAAGGATGGATGGGAAACTGCCAGGCGGCTCGACAGACCGCCAATTATTCAGATAGACGACTCTGGAATTCTCCAAGTACGAATTTATCTATAAATATACATATATATTTATAAATAAATATAACTTTAACAGAAAGTTTTTTTTTTTAATACTAATTTTAAAGAAAAACCGACGGCCTAATTTTTAAATTTCGCAATCCGAGATATTGAAAACATTTTTTTATTCGAATCGGTTTATTTAAACTTTACGCTCAATTAACAATTATTTAATGTTTATAAAATTTAAAAGAATCTTGAGGTATTATTAAATATTTGTAATTTAAATTTCGTTATTATGTTTTGATTATATTTTTAGTGCGTTGCGATATTTTAAAATAAGGCCATTGATTCTTTGTTTGCAGTTTAAAGAATTTTAATGTTAATTTTTAGATTTTCGCCTTTATTTATTTTATGAATTCTTGTATAATTTTTATCATTTTAACAAACGGAATATTTCCATCCAAGTAATAAGTAATTTTTTTTTTCTCTGGTTAGATAAAGAAATTGACAATTTTTATTCTTTACTTAAAAAAAGAAATTAAATGTCGAAAATATTCAGAAGTATTAAAAAGAATTCAAATTTTCTTATTTCAATTATTTTTTTTAATCAGAATTATCGAAGATATTTTTTGAAAAAAAATTTAATATATATTCTTGACCAATTTCGAGAAATTAAATTAAAATATTACTTTTTTTTATAATGTATAAATAAAGCTAAAAATCTAAAAAAAATTCCATCCAAAAATCAAGATAAAAAAATCGACTTAATAGAAATAAAAATACGTCGACTATAAATGGAATTCCTTACATAAATTGCAGTTTTCTGGAAGTGAATGGGCGATATTCAGGCTCGGTTACGTCGGAACTGTAGACACCATCGAGGTTGACACGGCGCATTTCAGAGGCAACTTTCCTGACAGCGTCAAAGTCGAGGGAACATTGGCTCCAGATGTTACCAGCAAGAGCCTGAATTGGAAGACCATCCTACCAACCCAAAAAGTATCATCATAATTTACCTTCTTAATAAATCTTACGTAAGATTTCACCTCTGGCGAAGAAACTTCTTAAAAAATAAAAATATTCTTTCAGCTGAGCCCCAACCGCTCGCACGTTTACACCTCAATCACATGGCCAGGGCCAGTGAGCCACATCCGGATAATCATCAGCCCAGACGGCGGAATCTCGCGGTTCAGATTCTGGGGTCATCCTGAAAATGAAAATTTTAAAGATAATTAAGCGAAAACAAAATGTTGCACTGAAAAAAAAATTAACTTGATTCAAGAGAAAAATTTTTGAACCAAGAATTTAATTTTGAAGAAGGTAGTTGTCTTAAATCAAGACGAAAAATTCTTGAATCAAGTAAAATTTCCTTAAACCAAAAATTTTTCTACACTGATAAAAAGATTTCTTAGCATTTAAGAAATTATTTCTTAAACATCATTTCTTAGTATTTAAGAAATATTTTTTAAATACTAAGAAATGATGTTTAAGAAATGATTTCTTACACTGATAAAAGAATTTCTTAGCATCTAATAAGATTTCTTTGTATTTAAGAAATATTTCTTAAATACTAAAAAATATTTTTTAAATACCAAGAAATGATGTTTAAGAAATTATTTCTTAAATACTAAGAAATCCTTCTATCAGTATACTCAAATCAAGAATATTAAGTTCTTCAAAATGATATACTTGAATCAAGAAAATTTTTTTTCTGTGTGAACAATCTCGACTGACCTTTTATATAAACATGAATTAAAACCAATAAAAATTTGAAATTTTGAAAATATTTAAATATAGAAAGCATGAGTTAACATTTCACAGCGTACAGGTGCTGGAGAATCGGCAAGCCAAGCTTATTATAAGTTACGAGATACTATCTCGGAGAAATACTCGTAAGAGTAAAAATTTATTGAAATATTTAGCATTAACGTTTAATACAAGTGCACTTATGTATAAATAAATGCATGTATTGGGCTTATATTTCTATATATATATATATATATATATACAAATATATTGATAAGTGGTAAGTACATCCTCTCCAAGACTTTGGAGAGTGGAACAGGAGAGAGTGAAGTGTAATTATGTGAGTATTGTGAGCGTATGAAAAAGCGACAGACATCAGACACAGTAAGCGTGCAAGTCGAACGCGGATGGGTGTACAGCAGCAATTGCTTGCAGTATGGTAGCATCGACGTGATACACAGACAATACCAAGTACCAAGATATAGTTTGTATATCTTGGGCAATTTTATTGACACCCTTCTTCATCTTCATTTTTGTTCGTGTGTGCTCATAGTTTTTATTTTTATTTTGTAATCATTTTTTTGAGCTCTGCTCAAATACTTTGTTTGGCTGCTGACTATTTGATATCTGAAAAAAAAAAAAAATAAATAACTGTAAATTTGTAAGGTATTCAATGATGTTTTCATTTGATGGAAAAAAAACCGGAAAGTGATCACCAGTATGTTGAGTTTTTTAATATTAATTTATGTTAATTTTATTTTTATTTAATGGACTGAGTTTGAATTTAAATTGGGAAAGTTTTTTTTAATAAATGATAATTATTTTATCTTCGATTGGTCAATATTAAGTAAAAGGATTATTTACTTTTTATTGAGTAAATAAAATTAGAAGAAAATTTTGAAATTGGTTCTTAAAAATTCTGGAATTAAAATGGCTAACGTTAAGGATGACACACAACCGGAAAGTATAAGAAAAATGTTTAGCTGGAGCAGCGGATTACCCAGGTGAGTAATTAAAATTAATTTAGCACTCATTAATTTTAAGAATGTTTGTAATTAATAAATTATAGCAAAATAAAATTAAAGTAGAAATTTTACAAATTAAAAAATGCAATTTTGAAGTTAGTTTTAATTTTTTTATTTTTTTCCATTAATTAAATTGGAACAAAAAAATATTTTTAAAAAATTGCACTTAAAGTTTTTTAAGTTTTTTATGAGTGAATTTTTTTTTTTTTTTTTTTTTTTTTTTTGTAATAATTTAAGAAAAAGAAAAAATTCTAAAAATTGTTCATTTAAAAAATTAAAAAAAAAAGCTGTCAATTTAAAAAAATTTTTTAACGAATATTACAATAAAAAAATGCTTCTAAAAATTTTTAATTAATTTTTACATGTGGAACTTTTTAATTAAATTTTTTTTATAATAATTTAATTGCCATAAAATTGTAAAAAAATTTTTTAATTTAAAAAAAATAATTTTTTTGAAAAAATTTGTTAAAAAAAATAAAAAAATGGTTAACTTTAATTTTTTTAGGTGAGTAATTAATTTTTAAAAGTAATTTAAGATATTAATTGTTGATTTTTTGGACTTTCTGCCGGTTAATAACAAAAAAATATTAACTGTCAAAATTGTAAAATAAAAATGGCGGCTTCAAAGTTGAGTTTGTGAAGAAATAGTTTTAATTTTGTGTATTATTATTAACTGGCAGGTTTTTGATATCACATATATATTTGTGAAAGTCCAAGTCATACGATTATTTTATTTGTAGAGGCTGCGTCACTGACGTGTGTGCGGGATTTACACACAAGACCAGTGTGAAAGGCGTTAAGCCAATGCGAAACCAGTTTCAAATGTAAACGGGACGACTTGATGATCGGGTCACTAATGTGTCCACGAAATAGGGTTTTTTTCCCGTAAATTCCCGCTCAGCAAAAATAAAAACTTAAAAATAGCAAGTAAATTTATGTAAAAAAAGTGAGAATTAATCTGCAATAAGTCACCTTTGTTTCTTCGCTAACATTTTCGCGGCCATTGTATTGGTGTGGAATAATTCCGCGGATTTATGACAGGGAAGCGGTAGATGGCAGCACAGCTGATAAATAGTAAACAGACTTCGATGTTTATCTAGGCATTAATTAGCATAATCAAAAACTTGTTATTTCTGAAAAGTTTAAAAAATATGACATTTAGAATATGTCTGTTACCTTTATTTCGCTTCCGGTTGCAACCATGGTTATAAAATTCATAAGCTTGCCATTATACTGTCAAGTGGGCGAATTTTATGCGAGTATTAAATCTTCAAGGTCGATTTTTAAATATTAATTCAAATAAAAACGTTGCATTGTTAGTTACTGCAATGTAGGTATTATTCTTGCGGGAAATATGATTCTAGATGACCACCAGCCTTTCTAAGAGGATACGTGATTCGCTTACAAGTTGCATATTTTTGACGTCTGCATTAGTTTTTTTTTTTTTTTTTTTTTTATTATTAAATCTCGTATTTGGATTTTCTGGTGATTCAGATGAAATAAAATCTGATATTGAAATTAAAGTTTATTTATTTCTTCAGTGTTAGTCATTTTGTAATTAAAATTTATATTTCTTCATCACTTCTGAAAGAAATTTAAAAAATTACTTTGACATTAATTATTGATATTAAAATCAGCTGTCACTTGACCATTTTTTAATTTTATTTAACAAAAAAAATTGTTCTGAAAAATGATTTTAAAAAAATTGCATTTTTAATTTATCAAAATTCCTAAATGTTAATTTGTTTTTTAAAAATTTTTTTTGAAGTAATTTATTTGTTAAAAAATTAAAAAAATTATCAAATATCTGCTGCTTTAATTTTTATCATTAATAAAAGAGGTTAGAAAGATTATTTAAATTACTTAAAAGAAGAAATCTATAAAAATTATTTTGACATTAAAGAATGATATTAAAATTAGCTGTCACTTGACCATTTTTCAATTTTATTTAATAAAAAATTTGTTCTGAAAAATTATTTTGTAAAAATTGCATTTTTAATTTATTAAAATTTCTAAATGTCAATTTGTTTTTTTAAAATTTTTTTTTTGAAGTAATTTATCTATCAAAAAATTTTTAAAATTATCAAATATTTGCTACTTTAATTTTTGACATTAATGAAAAAGGTTAGAAAAATTATTATAAAAAATATAAAGAAGAAATGTATTTAAATTACTTAAAAGAAGAAATCTATAAAAAATATTTTAAAATTATTTTGACATTAATGAATGATATTAAAATTAGCTGTCACTTGACCATTTTTTAATTTTATTTAACAAAAAAATTTGTTCTGAAAAATTATTTTTTAAAAAATGCATTTTTAATTTATTAAAATTTCTAAATGTCAATTTGTTTTTTAAAAATTTTTTTTGAAGTAATTTATTTGTTGAAAAATTTTAAAAATTATCAAATATCTGCTGCTTTAATTTTTGACATTAATAAAAGAGTTTAGAAAAATTATTATAAAAAAAAATAAAGAAGAAAATTATTTAAATAACTTAAAAGAAGAAATCTACAAAAAATATTATATTTCTTCTTCCAGTTTTAATAACTTGAATTAAGTTGGCAATGAAAAAAGTTCAAGTTTAACCGAGTGGATATAGAATGTGACATTTTTGCGTGTCCAACATTTATATAAGATTATTATACTAAAGTGGATAATAATAATTATAATAACAACAATAAAATAATCATATAATATACATTTGTGCGTCCGTATAATAAAACAACAATGCGAATAATTCGTGACTCTTTCTCGGTGCCGTGGCAACCTTAAACACCGTGATAATAATTGTTTATAATAATATATATAAATATATCCGTATATAAAAATGGCGAAATCTTTTCTTCGATGGTTGGTATTTATCCTCGATATTTAAACATGATTTTTAAAATACAATATTTACGTAAAGTATTAAATATTAGCACGTCTTCAATAAACACACGTCTTTTTAAAACACTTTAACACTTGTCTTTTCTTTTTTCATGCTTACTAAAGCTATGCAATGGCATGATACAATCGTTAAAAGTAAAGTAAATTAAGACCGTCGAAGGAAAACCTGTCGCCGAAACCGATCTAAGGACAAATCACCGTGTAGGCATATACTTATATTATTGCAAGCGAATAATTTCAAAATATAAGTATGTTGAATTTGAATAAATAAAAGGAATGAAAAAAATATAAAATAAAAAAAGGAAAACATATCATTATGTCGAACAAAGTTCATCAGACGTAATGGTTTTTCCACAGATATTTACGTAACACAACCAGCTGGATTGACCGCTTTCACGTTTACGTTGCAGCAAATTAATCTTTGCTCCTGTTGGAGATCAGAAGCTAACTGCGTATTGTTATATTTTAATATCCTTTTTTAATTTTATTTCAATTCATTTTTTTTTCTACACAGAAAAAAAATATTTTAAATCAAGTAAATAATTTTGAAGAAATAATATTAAAGTTAGCCGACGTTTTTAATTTTTTGATTTTTTTTTAATAATTAAATTAGAACAAAAAAGTATTTTTTTTAAATTGCACTTACAGTTTTTAAAGTTTTTTATAAGTGAATTTTTTTTTTATTTTTTTGTAATCATTTTTTCATTAAAAAAAAAAATTCTAAAAATTTTTAAATGGTTAACTTAATTTTCATGAAGAAAGAGTACCAAAGTTAGCCGACGTTTTTAATTTTTTTTAAATAATTAAATAATAAAAAAAAAATATATTTTAAAAATTGCACTTACAGTTTTTAAAGTTTCTTACAAGTGAAATTTTTTTTTTATCCTTTTATAATCATTTTTTATTAAAAAAAAAAAAATTCTAAAAATTTTTAAATGTCGACTGACTTAATTTTCATTTTTTTTTATTTGAGAATAAAAATTTATAAATTAATAAACTTTTCATCTTAATTCAAAAATAAATTATTATCTTAGTTCAATAATTTTTTTTCAGAGTATCAATCATTGTAATTCAATAACACGGCCATTTTTTGTCCAATAAAAATACTCTAAATTTTTCATAGCTGGACTTTATATTATCAGGGTAAAAAACGAATGACTTCCTAGATTGTTTTTTTTAGAGTAAGAAACAAAAATCAATTTTATTAATACGTTTTTTCTTAAAGCTGACTAAACAGTTAAATTAAAGTATCAGTTTATGTTAACATAAAAAGAATAATAACAATAAAATGCGTCGAGCAGAAAATAAATAAATAAAGTAAATAGAATAAACGACTCAAAGGTCGGTGATAAAAACCTTTAGCCGCAACAAGCAGGTACTATCGATTGGGAAAATGTATGATTGATTATAATTAAATAGAGAATGCAATAAGTCGATGTTAATTGCGATATATACTTAAGCTCGTATGTAATTTTTTTACTTACAGTGATATGATGAACTATAAAATAAGTAATGGTAATAGACGTAATGAATATCCTTCAAGGCTGTTAATTTTGAGGCAAGAATGTATAATAGATTCTTTTACAATCTGTGGTATGGTGCGTTAACCAATCTGTTATTTAATCGATCTTCATATTACATCATTTACAATCGGGTACAGCCTTACACCTATTATACAACAATATAGTGAAAGTGACAGTTCAGCTGCAATTTTTATAAGTTTACAGCGAAGACACTTACTACTGACAGCCATAAGTCAACATACTAGTTACAGTAGTAAATATAATAATAATAGTAACTCAAATACTATACTACTTTATCTTAATAACTCTTAATCCAACTTCTGATTATCTCTTTTGCTATTCTGAGGAATATAATAACAACCTCAATACCTTGCTATAAATATACCTACGATCAATTTTTTATCTTTTATTCATGGATCTGGAGGGTACTGCGTTGACACACTTAATTATACCTCGAGCTCGTCTAATAGTCAGTGGAAAATTTATTATTTATAATTCTAAATAATGGTAATTAATAATAATAAATAAAATATATATAATTTGTAGGGTTTTTTTTTTGCAATTG